TACTGGCACTATACTAGGGTAGCTGCATACCCCTTCAACACAATTTTTTATATTTACATTTGTATTGAATGGACACTTAATCATGACTGCCACTTGTTTTATATAAAGCAAATGGTTTTGTTATTCGCCAGTGCAGAGCCTTTATTTTTATTTATACAGCCACTTTATTTCATTTGAGTTTGTTTGTTCAAAGTTTTCAATAATTTGATGAAGGATAGATAATAAAAGATAGTTATCATGAAAGCCACATGTGTAAGCTCTCAAATACTTTTCGAATTTTGTTTCTATCTGCTACAGAGGCCGAGATATCACAGCTTTTTTGTAAACTTCAACATTGGGGAAAACCTCAGGATCTGGGAGCCCTTCTCAAAATTGGCCTCAGGATTTCAGAGGCCTGTCTCAGACAGGGTTCAGGTCCTAATGGGTTAAGCACCCTTGGACATATACCATCTGGGCCAGCAGCCTTCCTAAGGCAAAGTCTTCCAAGCTCCAACCTCACCCCTGTTTCTGTGACAGACAAGGACTGGTGTTCTCGGAGGGAGGTAGTTGAAGTGGCTGTGACATTTGGCCATGGACATGTTGCGGAGAGAAAGGTGGAGTAGCAGTGCGAGTGGGTGTGACAGCAGTGTCAAATCTGTTTAAGAACAGGTTGAGTTCATCAGCTCTTTCAACATCAACCACCACTTGCTGTTTTTTTCTTTTGATTGTTGTATCCAGAGATGATACTGATTCCTCTCCACACTTTACAGATATTGCTGTGTAGTAGATTCCTCTCTATCTTTTTGTATTCCATCTTAACCATCTTCAGTCTCCTCTTCAACTCTTGTTGCACTTGTTTGAGTCGTTCTTTGTCACTGTCTCTTAAAAGCTTTCTTTTTCTGGTCAAGGATTACTTTTAGTCTCACTTGTGATCCAGGGTTTGTTGTTGCGGAAACAGCAAACAGTCTTTGTTGGTATAACAGTGTCTCTACATAATTTTATATTCAGTAAAGCGGTCAACCTGTTTATCAATGTTCATACTATCCACATCCGTTTCCAGCAGCACATTCCAGTCTGTTGATTTAAAACAGTCCCTTAGAGCTTCACTGGCTTGAGGTGTCCATCTTCTGATTTTGACTTTGGTCACAGGCTGCCTCAGTACACAAGGTTTGCAGATAGACCAAGTTATGATCTGTGTAGCGTACCCTCCGACAAATTGGTGGACTCGACTGATGATTCCTTAAAACTGTCATTATTTTCATAAACCGCTCCATAAATCAGCTCCATGAAATTCACAATGAGAACTAACAAAAACACGAAAAATAAAATTACATTTCTGTTTACACTATGCACCATTACCCAGTAGCTTCACCGCAGGTGAGAGAGGATTAGCTTTGCTTTAGCACAGTAACATAATGTAAACCAAAACATACACTCTCTCACTAACCTTGTGCCTCCTTGGGGTTAGCTAGTGTGTAAAAGTACAAGGCTGCCCTCTTGTGGCCAAAATGATGAACAGCAATACATAAAACCAAAAAGTGGTTTGCTACACTCCCACCAAAATAACTTGTGTTCCACATTAAACACTGAGTGTGAACTAATAATAATTTTCTCAATAAGAGTGCTATTGTCTTTATGTAGCCACAGCTTAAGAAGCTTCAAAAAGCAGAACTAACTTCTGCACTGGGCTTTCTAATATTGAGGGTTTGGCAAGACGCTCACTCTTCTTTCTCAGATTCTTATCTCCCACTGAGATTTTCAGTCTTCTAACAAGCCCATCCTTGCCGCTGACAGTCTCTATGACTCTTGCAAGTCTCCATTTGCCTCTGGGTAACAGTTCATCTTTGTCCATCACCCACCATTAGATTTCTTCTCGGCGTGTGCCAGCATTGCCTTGTGGTGATATTGTGTAGATACTCTCATTTCCATCTACACCAGAACTTTTTCAATAAAAACTGTACACAACGCCATCTTTTTGCTCCATACAGGTCTTCTTTAGGGAATGTGCCTGGTGGAGGGAGTGCTGTACTGGACTTCATGTTGAGGAGATGATTGGGGGTGAGAAGTTTGAGGCTGTCGGGAAAGTTCAAGTTATCCATAGTGGGGGGTCGACTGTTGACTATGGCCATAGCTTTGTACAGCACAGTCCTTAATGAAGCATCATTGAGCCTGCCTTGGGAAAGAGATAGAGTAGAGCTCAGAAAACTTTTGACAGTCTTTATCTGGCGTTCCCACACAGCACCTGCATGACTGGAGTGAGATGCCTTCATAATGAAATCACACTGTTTATGTGACAAGAATATGTTCAGTCTCTGTGTGTCAAGCTCTTGTAAAGCTGTCTTGAATTCATTCTTGGCGCCAACAAAATTGGTGCCCTGATCACACTGAATTTTATGGACTGCACCACGAACAGCAATGAAGCATCACAGGGCATTGATGAAGGCGTCAGTGGACATATCCTCCAACTTCTCTATGTAAATGGCTCGTGAGCAAAAACAAGTAAAGAGCAGGCCGTATCATTTATGCTGTTTTCTTCCTTGTGCAGTTGTGAAAGGGCCAAAGCAATCCATACCACAATAAGTGAAAGGAAGGGAGGGCTCGACGCATTCAATGGGTAAGTCACTCATTCTTTGACCCTCTGCAGCTCTCCTGAGTTTATGACAGATCACACACTGATGGATTATGATGTTACTGCTCTGCTCATTCCAGGAATCCAATATCTACTGGCTCTGATTTAATTTATTGTGAATTCTTTTCCTTGATGTTTTGTCTTTTCATGGTTGTGAGCTATTGCCAACATTGATTTGATCTCTGCTTCAATGTGCTAGTCTTTGCAGATCCAGGATTATGACATTCTCAACACTTTCTCTTTCGCTCACTGTTGTTAGAGCAGGTGATGTGATCTTTTTAACTCGTCAAAGCAGACGGGCTATGGCTCTGGTAGCTAGAGCCCATAATGAGAACTTGAACAGGAGGTCGATAAGACTCATTGTTTCTGTGGTTTTTGTGTGCAGGGCTTGTGCCTTTTTGACTTCTGGATCCCCTATGAACAGGTCTGGCACTGCATCATTTTCCATGGGTAACTCCTTTTCCCATAGAAACATGGGGCCGGTGAACCAGTCAGATGCAAGTAGTTCATTTACAGTTTTACCTTGGGAGGCTCCATCTACTGGATTCTAATCTGTGGGGACATAGCGCCATTACTGTGGGTTTGTACAGTGGCGAATCTTCTGGACCCTGTTGAGGACAAAAGTGTGAAATTACCATGCATTGTTATTTATGTAGCCTAACACCACCTTTGAATCAGTCCAAAAGTACTTTTTTCCATCAACAATTCCTCTCAAAGCATGTTACTGATGGAGACTGAAACAACTGCTGCGGTAAATTCGAGCCGTGGTATTGTAGTCACTTTTGTTGGAGAAACACAGGCCTTTCCTATCACTAGTGAGCAATGAACCTCTCCTTCTTTGTTCTTGACTCTCAGATAAGAGCATTGCCTGTATCCGCTGGTGCTCGCATCTGAGAAGTGGTGTAATTCAGTTTCCACAACTTCTCTAAAGTTAGCAGGTAAGTAACAGCGAGGGATGTTTATTTTTGTTGTTTTAGGTTGGTGAAATCATGTTGCCAACTCTCCCACCATGGTTTTAGCCTCTCTGGCAGGGGCTCATTCCAACCAGTGCCCTGGTTGCACAGCTCTTGGAGGATTCTCTTTCCATTGAGGAAGTATGGTGCGAGAAAGCCAAGAGGGTCATATATGGAAGTGACAGTAGATAATATGCCTCTCCGTGTGGCGGGTCGGTCCTTTAAGGTGTTCTTGAGTTTGAGGCTGTCCTCCTTTATGCTCCATTGTATTCCTAGAGCTTGTTCCAGTGTGTCATTGAATGTTAAGTCCTTTGTCTTTGTCTCTGTCGCAGACTCTGATGGGGGTAGGCTCTGCAATACAGCATGGTTATTTGACACAAATTTGTGGAGACGGAGACCACCTTTGCTGCATATCTCCCTTGCTTCCTGTACCAACTGGCTTTTTCCACATTGTCTGTGCTTGTCACTCCGTTGTCTATATAAAAGTCTTTTGCAACAAACTGTGCTCCTACTGGGGTGAGTGGCTGTGTTCTTTGGCTAAATGTTTTAGACCACAGTTCATGCACCCAGGGGATGACACCGTACCAAAAAGGTGTACTTTCATGCGGTACATCTTTGGTTGTGTTGTTGGATCTCCATCCTCCCACAAGTGGAACCGGAGGTAGTTGCGGTCTTCCTCTTGGACATGAAATTGGTGAAACATTTTCTCTATGTCACATAGAAGACCAGTGGGATGTCATCTTAACCTTATGAGAATTCCGGTTAGGTTATTGATGTCAGAAAAATTAAACTGCATCTGACTTGCAGCCACCTGAGAGGGACAACAGAGATAGTGGACTTCTTTTTCTTGGATATCTTTTACTTTCAAGGGGTCAGCAGCTTACAACAAAGGCAGCTTCCTCTGACTGAGGAATTCAGATTTTTACACATCCTTTATGCAGTCAAGAAACACAAACCCCCGCCCACTAACAGCATCTCACAAGTGGCATGACATTACAACAGTATCCAAATAGGGTACAGGTTGCAGCTGTGGTCTGTACTGGGAGAACAAAGACAGCTTAGTTTATCATCAGGTTCCTGCTTATCAGTTCAATCTCACACTGTTTGGAAAACAACCTGTGAGTGAAATTGTAACACTCATCTAGTTGCATGGCTTCAGCGGAAAAGTATTAGTCCCAACTCCAAGGCCATATGTCTCCTTTCCCATGCTCATTAAAAAGAAACAGATATGACTCTGTAAGCATTCACACCAATTGAGTTTCAGTAAATGATGATTAACATACTTATATAATGATAAAATACACATGTGGTAGCATACACATTCAATTTTTCTTTGATTGATCATGTCTGGCCCTGGGAGCAGGTGTTCATTTAAGCTTGTGCCAGAATATTTTGCTGAACAGTCAAACACAATGCACAGTTTGTCAGGCTTCTGAGGGTGATATATGCCATGAGGTGGAATATACCATCGCTCCCCTTAAACTCCATCTGTCTGCACCTCCTCCACATCACCTCTCTATTTGATCTCCTTCATGTATGTTGTGTAGTCTCTTTCATAATTTTCATCCCTGCTGAACTTACGCTGTAGATGATCAAGCCTGATTTCAGCGAGCCTTTTGTTGCTAGGTAGAGAGGGCTGTTGTTTGAATGGAAGAGGCATCTCGTATGTCCCTGGGCATTTTTCTTTATACTATCTTTGAGTTTGCTCAAGAACATGAGGTCCTCTTGTAAGACAGTTTTGTCATCTCCTTTTGTGTCTTTGAAGTCTGACTCCAGAACGCTTATCACATCCATCAGCGTTACTGGAGAAAGTTCCTTTAGCATGACTCTGTGACACAAGCCGGAGTGTCCTTTATCAAAGCCAGGTGTAGAGCAGCCCACAATGCTCCACCCCAAGTCTGTGAGGACGGCGTAGGGCTCATTGTCTGCTCCATCAATCATTTGTCTGGGTTTTATTGCTCCCGGACAGTTATACCCAATGAGGACTCCCACATCACAGCTGAGGAAAGGTGGTATCTGATCTGTGATTGCAGCTAGATGAGGCCATTGTTTCACTGTTTGATGGGTAGGTATGTTGTCACGGTTCATGGGGATACAGTCTTTGGTGTATGAAGGGGGGAGATCAATGTAAATGCCTGAATTGTAGCCTCTGACACGGAGTCCCTCCACTCTTTCACTTTTCATTATCATGCTCTCTCCCAACATAGTAGGGAGTTTCAGTTGTACAGGGAAAGTGTTTGGTTGTAACTCATTGCTTACTCTCTTTAGTGACACAGAGTGGGCTTGCTGTCACAATTTCATTTGTAGCTGTGATCACATTTACTCTAGATTTCCTTCTTTGACTGTTTACAGGTCTGTCTTTCTCCTCATACCCTTTTTAACGTTCATCATGTAGACAGGTGGGATGCCTTCCCTTGCACAGATCATAAGTGTGACAGGGACGACATTCCTTAGCACTGTGACCTGGCTTGACACATCCATAACACAGTTTATTGTCTTTTATGAATGTTCGTCGTTCTTCGAGGGAATTTTCTTTGAACATTGAGCACTTTGAAAGTTGATGCTTGTCATCCTTGCACCATATGCAGGGAGACCATTCTTTTCCATAGTTTGCTTTCATTTTTTCAGTGTTTGCATTTGTTTGAGTGCTGAACACACTTACTTTGTTTCCCTTTGTTTCATTTGTGCTTCTTTTGATGTAGGATGAGCTAGATGAGTGCAGCGCATGCAAGGAAGTGATTGGATTACATGCTATCTCCGCTTCTACTGACACAAAGTTGGCAAAATCTTCAAAAGTAGGGAAGTCTCTACCTCCCATGAGAGCTATTGAGACTTGACGGTTCCAGCGTGCTGCTAGCCAGTCTGGAACTTTCTGTGTCAGCTTTTGATTCTTTACACAGTCACTTTCACATGAGGCATGGCTTGGAGATAGGCATTTGAGAAATCAGAGAAGGTTCTTAATCCTTCAGCATCTTTGGTTTGCACTTTCGGCCATTTTGACAGCTTGTCCCTGAAGGCTCTTTGAATGACAAACGGCTGCCCGTAGCGTTGGTTGAGCTTATTCCATGCATCTCTGTATGCTTCACCATAGTCTCAATAATAGGTGCCTTTAATACATTTGTGAGCAGGGCCACTGACATATTTCTTCAGATAATAAAGTTTGTCGGCTAATGAGATGCCCTTCTTATCTATCAGTGACATGACTGAAGCTCTCCATTCAATGAAGTGGATGGGGTCTCCTCCAAACACTGTGGGCATTGGCATGGGGAGTCTATTAATGGTTATGCTGTCTTGAATCACTTGGGCTAGAGAGGAGATGTCAGTGGAGGGATTTGGTGGGACTATGGAAGGGTTCGGGTGATACACAAAGGGGATGGCGGGCTCTGCCTGTTGTATCTGCTGTCTTGTTGCTGTGTAGGCAGACTGTTCATTTGCTGTAACGACTGACTGTCAGTTTCTTGTCTGATTTCTCTGTCTTGGCTTTCCAGTCTGACACGTGCTACTTCTCTGTCCCTTTCTGCTTGCAAACGCTCTAATTCAGACTCCATCATCCTTATTTTTTCTTTCTGCTTTCTTTCTTCTTCCATTGGTTTACATTGAGCCTCATTTGCCACAAGCTCTGCAACTGTTTCCGCTCTTTTTGCAGCCATGACTGATGCTTCTGAGAAGTGACTATTAGCTGACTGAGAAGCAGTCCCATATATGGAATGAGCGTAGTTATGAGCATGAAACTCACAGAGTTTGCGCTTTTCACGCTCTGCATCAAAGACATCGTCTATTCCTGATAAACGTTCATTTATTATTTTCATAATGTCATTGGTGACTGCCTCACAAGCATCTATTTTGCGTCTTAAATCAGCACATGGAGTGGCATCCTGTCTTACTTCGTTGTAAATTTTCATGATGTCATCCTTTCCGTTTTCAACAGTGTCTGCCATTTTAGCCAGTTCCATATCTATTGTGTTTTGCTTTAGATTTTCTTTGGTTGATCTGATTTGAATTTTCCATTGTTCATAAAGACTAAGCAGTCTCCTTTTCTTTTTACTTTGTTCCTCCCTTTGATAGGCAAGAAACTTCTCTGTGGATACATCTTTGCATTCTGAATGACGTGGTATTTTTATTTCATCAGTGTCATTCATTTCATGTTGCAGCTCAACTAGTTGTTAATTTTTGGTTTCAGTTAGCTCCTTTAATTCCGGCCATGACAAGCCTTCTTCATCCCTTTGATTTAGCAATCCTCTATTTTCTTCAATTTCTGCTTGTAGTTTATTTATCTGTTCCTTTAAGGCATCCATTTTTACTGTATTGGTAGTCTTTACCGCTCCTTGAGTGTAGCTCCGTGTTGTGCTGCTTGACCATGGAGTTCACAGATGAAGTGGCGATGCATGTGGTAAAGTAGTCACTGGAGCCTCGCTGGGGTAAGTTCTCACTGCAGGGTACCATCCAACAGATGGTGGACTCGACTGATGATTTCTTAAAATTGTCTTTATTTTCATAAATCTCCATAAATCAGCTCTATGAAATTCACTGTGAGAACTAACAAAAACACAAAAAATTAAATTACATTTCTTTTTACACTATGCACCATTACCCAGTAGCTTCACCGCAGGTGAAAGAGAATTAGCTTAGCTTTAGCACAGTAACGTAAACCATAACATACACACTCGCTCACTAACCTTGTGCCTCCTTGGGAGGTAGCTATTCCGTCATCATTGTCTCACTCTTTAATTACCGTAGATTTATTACTTTATTTTCCTTTACCTTAAACTCTTTTACTTTCACCATTATGTTAGCTCACTCATACCGTGAACGTCCTTTTGTTTCTTTTTACCCACACATAAAGCCAGGAGGAAGTGACAAGTTGGTTAGCAATCTCTTCAAAATAAAAGCTCATAATAACCATAATAACCAAGCTCCAAAATGAGCAATATACATATAAAACACATAAATTACATTTTCTTATAACAAACTTAAATCATGAGCTATATTTTTATACACTCGAATCATTTAAAAAATGCATTGCAAGTAGCTTAACTGTTTGTTTTTAAGATTTTAACCTATTTAACCATTTTAACAGTACAATGCTGCCCTCTTGTGGCCAAAATGTTAAACAGCAATACATAAAACCAAAAAGTGGTTTTCTACAATCTGACTTGCCCAGTGGTGGTAAGGCAGTGGCTCTGTAGACATCTTTGACATTGCCATACAGCAGATCCAGGGTTTTGTTTTCTCTGGTAGGACCGTTCACAAACTGTGTGAATCCAGTCTGGTGAGAGGAGAGGGTGACATGGTTGAAGTCTTCAGATATTATTAGTGCATCAGGGTGTTGAGTCTGTAGCCTAGCAACACTATTATGCAAAACATTGCATGGAATTTCCTCAGTTGATTTGGGTGGAATGTAAACAACTATTGGCCGTAGAGCAACTGCCAACAGTTCAATATCTGGACAACATAACTTCTCCTTGACAGTTACGTGTGAAGGATTACACCATCTCTGGTTGACAAATAAAGCCAGAGTTCCACCTTTCTTCTTGCTACTAGCTTGAGCATCTCCATCTGACCTTATGAGAGTGAAGCCAGGTAGATCAGAGTTGTTTTGATTCAACCAGGTTTCAGTAAAACACAGGAAATTGCACTCACGGTATGCTTTCTCAGTCATCACCAATATTTCCAGCTCATTGCTTTTGTTGGGCAGAGAGTTGACGTATCCCATGATAATTGATGGAAGAAATGGTTTATATCACCACCTCCTAGCATTCAGCTTTGCCTTTACCTTTGCAGCAGCACATGAACCACGATAACACCTCCTGATGTCCTCTGGAATTGTATGTTGTTGTCCAGATTTGCTTTTCCTCAATGAAAGGAGCTCTTTTCTTGAGTAAACTCTTCGCCCAGCAGAAATATCCATCAGCAGCCAACAAAAATATTACAAAATCTACCAAAATTACAAAAATTACAGATAATACAGAGAGACCAGACTTGCAGCAACCTCTCAGTTCAAGCGCATCATTCGAAATATGAATCAATAACGGATCAATAAAGAATCAATCAATAACGATTGATTGATTGTGTTAAAGATTTTTTTAAAAATACAAGGTAAATTCACTCCACTGATAAAAGGAAGTAAAAGCTGCTCATATTAGTAATATCGTAATGATACAGTGATGCTATAAGGACTGTAAAATGTGTCATTGTCTTTACTGAAACATGTTTTGTCTCTCACCTAGAATATTGGCTGTGCTGCAGCCTACACAGCAAATTATTTTGAAGACTGGAACAGAGTGGGAGATGATGCTGAACATGGATGATCACACCTTTTCACGTCATTTTCGTGTCACCAAGCCCCAGTTTGAATATCTGATGATGAAGCTTCAGGACAATGGTATTGAACAACAACAATGTCAAGGTCTACCGCTAGTTCATGCAACAACGAAGGTGCTGATGTTTCTGTGGTACATGGCCAACCAAAACAGCTTCCATGAGATGTCTGCTGTGTTTGATGTGTCACAGTCCACAGCAAACGGGATCACCCTACAAGCGCTCAACATCATGTGCACAATAGGATTATTATTTATATCCTGGCCAAATACCTGTGAGAAAGCAGCATCTGCTGCTGCTTTCCACTGCCTCTGTGGTCTCAGTGGTGTCATCAGTGCTATTGATGGATGCCACATCCGGATGCAAAGGCCACCAATACGAGGAGGAGACTACATGAATCGAAAGTCTTTTTATACTGTCCTCCTTCAGGGAATTGTGGATGAGAAAAACATTAAAGATAGTGGTCTTCTTTACTATCTTTTACTTGCAACTGTCAGCAGCTGACAACAAAGGCAGGTTCTGACTGAGGAATTCAGATTTTTACATATCCTTCATGCAGCCAAGAAACAGACACCCCCGCCACTGTTGTAATGGCATGACATTACAACAGTATCCAAGTAGGGTACAAGTTGCAGCTGTGGTCTGTACTGGGAAGACAAAGACAGCTTAGTTCATCATCAGGTTCCTGCTTATCAGGTTAATGTCATACTGCTGAGAAAACAACCTGTGAGTGAAATTGTAGCGTTTATCTAGTTGCATGACTTCAGCGGAAAAGTATCAGTCCCAACTCCAAGGCCATACTTCTCCTTTCCCATGCTCATTAAAAAGAAACAGATACAATTCTGGCAAGCATTCACACCAAGTGATTTTCAGTAAATGCTGATTAACATATGTATATAATAATAAAAATACGTATGTGATAGCATACACATTCCTTTTTTTTCAGATGAAAATGAGTGACACTGCAAATGTCATGAGGCCAGGCCATAAAGTTATCCAACCCATCCTTAAATTGTAAATATTGTAAATAGATACCAATAATACACTGTTATCATAAATGTTTTTAGATGTCTTTTAAACTGTCTGTCCTGCAAATAAATGTTTTCCACAATTGACTGTTCTTTCCTTGTAATTATAATCATTGCTTATCAGTATTATTTACAATAATATCAACAACATGCCAGTCAGAAGTGTAAAACTATTGATTACATTTATTGCAATATTCAATAAAGATTACAAATTTAATTAATTATCCAAAATGTTCCTTTTTGATTCAAGAAAAAACAATTAGGTACAAAATAGTGCAAATAAAAATAATGCAAATAAGCCTGCCGTCTCTCGCTGTCAGCGCTGTTTGTGTTTGTGCTGTTTATGTCTATTGTTATCAGTTATGTCAGCTCACTGCTTGTGTATGACCGCCAAACACGGCTGGATCTTCACCCCTCTGCCAAGGATTTGGTGAAACTAGATCCTGATCACTATGGTTGTACCACGTTTAAGCCGTTTCACCTCTCCAGGATACCTGCTCACCTTCGCTGCACCCTCGCTCCACTTCCCCGGCGTAAACGCTGGCGCTACCATGGCAAATGCAGCGGCCAGCTGGTGAAAGTTAGAACTCTTTTGGCTCGATCTTCCGCGGATTCCTTGAGGAGAAATGGAGTGGGATCTGGTCTCTTTCTTCATCTGTGATCGCTGGACCCTGTCGACTCCTGGCTGGTACCTGTCGACGGTTCAGATGAGGTAATCTGTCCCTGCGGCCCCTGCTCTCCTCGTCCCCGCCGGCGTAGGGTAGATCCCCGCCATCTACGGGCCCTGTGTCGGGCTCCACAATCAGCCGATGCCTTGGATGTGCCGATCTCTGCCAGGTTCGGCCTTGTTAATGCTAGATCACTGGCAAACAAAACTTTTATCTTGAAGGATTTCTTCATGTTGTGTGGATTGGATTTTCTCTGTGTGACGGAGACATGGCTGAGTACCGGTGAGTCCAGCCCTCTTAATGAACTCTGTCCGCCGGATTGCTGCTATTTTAATTCCCCGCGGTCATCTGGTCGAAAAGGAGGTGGAAAAGCAGTTATTTTTAAGCGACTTTAAATGCCAGCAGATCTGTCTGCAATTCTCCTTTACAAGTTTTGAACTGTGCTTGTTTGAACTAGGCTGCTCTTATGTTGTCCTGTGCGCCATCATCTATCGACCACCCAAGTTCAATAAGGAGTAAGTGACTTTTCTGAATTTCTGGCCGAAATTCTGCCGAAATACGACCGTGTCCTTATTGTTGGCGATTTTGCTATTCACACTTGTTGCCCTGAAAAGCTGGTCTCCAGGAGCTTTTAAATCTCACTGACTCTTTTAACTTCGTGCAGTCTGTGTCCGGTTCTACACATAATCTTGGGCACACACTAGACTTACTGCTCTCGCACAGTCTGTGTGTCTCCAATCTTGACATTTGTGACGCTGTTTTCTCGGATCATATGCCAATTTTATTTGACATCCCCACTCAGTGTCCGGTTAAATTGTGCGCTCCTCCTCAACAGCGTTGCATGTTTAACTCTCCTCGCCTGCTCTGTTCTCCTCTACCTTCATTGGTCTCTGCGAGGATGACTCTGCAGCCTCTGTGTGTGTGGATACTGAGCAACTGGTATTGAGATTTCACTCCACCTGTCTACAAACACTGGACACGATCGCTCCTCTGAAGAGCCGGCGCACCAAACATACACCCGAGCCCTGGTTGAGCGACGTCACTCGTGCAGCCAGGCGAGAGTGCAGGAGGGCGGAGCGCAGGTGTAAAAAGGACAGACTGCATGTGTCTCTTGGCATCTTTAAAGTCTGTGGAAGTATCAGAAGACTGTGAAAGCTGAGAAGAACAAATATTTCTCAGAATTAATTGCCTTTAACTGTAACAATCCCAAGACTCTGTTCAAAACCATAAACACTGTCCTTGAGGCTCCCAAGTCTCTTGGTTTTGATGCCTCCACTGAAATTTGTGAAAAATTCCCCCACTTTTTCTCTGAAAAAATTATGTCAACCAGAGCCTGTATCTCTCAGCCTTCATATGACCCTTCAGCCCCTCTGCACCCCTCATCTGTCTTTGCTAAATTTGAGTCTGTGTCCCTCTCTATTTTAAAGGACATAGTCAGCCATATGAAGCCCTCTGGTTCCCCTGCAGATGCCTCCCCCCCTCGCGCTTTTTACAGAAGTACTTACTACTATTGGACCAAGTGTCCTTAATACTGTAAATAGTAGCCTCTCCTCTGGTACAGTATCTAGGGATTTTAAACATGCCCTAGTACGACCTCTATTTAAAAAAATGGCCTTGACCCATCCCTCTGTGCCAGTTTCAGGCCCATCTCAAATCTTCCATATCTGTCCAAGATTTTAAAGAAGGTTGTCTACAATCAGTTGTTACCATTTTTGGAAGATAATGGTATCACAGAGTTGGTCCAGTCTTGTTTTAAAGCTCTCCACAGCAGAGTCAGCACTTTTAAAGGTGTCTAATGATATTCTTATGTCAACAGACTCTGGAAAGTTTGTTGTCCTTGTGCTCCTAGATCTGTCTGCTGCATTTGACACAGTTGACCACAGCATTTTAATCTCTTGCCTGGAGCACTGTTTGGGCATTGAGGGTGTCACCCTGGACTGGTTCTGGTCTTACTTAACAGACAGAAATTTCTGCGTTCAACTTGACAACTCTGTGTCGTCAACAGCTCCTCTTCCACATGGGGTCCCCCAGGGCTCAATCCACAGCCCTCTTTTATCTACTCCCCATCTGAAGGATGTCGTCACTAATCTGGTAGTTAACTTAACAGGTCAGCGGAGTGGTACAAAAAGGTTTTTACCAGCTACGTCAAATAGCGAAGGTGAAGCCCATTTTATCAAGATCTGACCTGGAAAAAATAGTCCATTCTTTTATTACTACCCGTCTTGACTACTGCAACTTTTTGTACGTAGGGATTAGCCAGGCTTCCCTTGCCCGCATGCAGCTTGTGCAGAACTCTGCTGCACGTCTCCTGACACTGGCTCCCTGTACAGAACAGGATTCATTTTAAGCTTTTAATATTTGTTTTTAAGGGCCTGAACAATCTTGCTCCACCTTACATTTCTGAGATGCTCCAGCCTTATTGCCCACCCCGACCCCTAAGATCAGCTGATCAACTGACGGTCCCCAATACAAGGCTGAGGCTCAGAGGGGACCAAGCGTTTGATCTTAATCTTAGCACTTGCCGTGAGCCTGCTTATTTATATACTTAATTATTCTTTTGCATTAATGTATTTCTGCTCGCTTTATCTTGTTCTTTGATTGTTTTATTTTTTTTTATGTGTCATTGTACAGCACTTTGTCTACCCTTGTGGTTCTTTTAAATGTGCTATAGAAATAAAGTTGATTGATTGATTGATTGACAACATATATTGATAAAATATTCAAGATGTTCCCTTTTGGTTCAAGAAAAAATAGTTCATTAGCAAAGATCGAAATTGTGCAAAAACTTTAAGTTTCCCCAATGTAAAATGTGTAATAAATATAGTGCAAATGCTTATAAGTAAACTGTACAACAAAAGTTTTAACAATAACAGCAATGCAAACAAGAATAACAGAATCACAGTTTGTCTAACAATCGAGACATCAGGCCCTCAAACCCTGGGCTGACCTAAGCTGAGCCAGTAAGTCTTTGTGGCACCTCTGTGCCTCCTCATGACACCTCTGACTGGCTTCCTCTGACTCCCGGAAGAACTGGAGGTTGTCCTTTTGTTCCCGCCAATGCTTAACAGGCCGTGTGTGTATGTCAGTGCTGTGTGGGTGCTGGAGCATGAAGCAGCCTCTGCTGGAGGTGCCGTGACAGCCGTGAAAGCCGTGACAGCTGAAGGTCCAAGCACCTCTGGTCGCCTTGTATCAAGCCTCACTGATGTGCCAACCACAGGGAAGACCACGTCATGCTTCCCTGCTAGAAGTTCATTCATCTCTCTAAAAAAGTAAAAGCAGATGGCTCCTTTTCCTGTTGTTTTGTTGTTGTCCTTTATATTTTTGTAAGCATCAACTAATGTGTCCCACTTCCTGGCCACTTTATCAGGACAAAATTATTCTGAAAACTGCAGACCTCTGCCGTCTCCTTTCACAGGTTCTTCTTTATTAGATCTTGCAGATTTCAACCGAGAATTCCGCTCTTTTAGATTCTTCGGGAGGCCATCGGCTTCTGCTGCCAGATGTTTGTGCATCAAATCAATAAGGAACATCGTTTGGTTCCTAATGAAGCTTTCATTGGCAGGCAGGACAGGGCAGGAGGTGGTGATGGGCTGAGGGGGGCAACATCATAGACATCATAGATCATTGACATAACTTTTGTTATTATTATCACCATTATCATATTTGTTATTATATTTAAACTGCTGTGGTGTGACTATCCTCAGGGTTAACCAGGTTTGCCATAGTGGTACAGGCCCTGTCGACGTACTACATTGTAAGATCATGCGTTTTTTGAAACAGAGGTCCATGAAAAGGTGTCCTCCTCTCTGGGTCCACGAATAGAACAGCATTGTTGTCCAAATACACTGGGGAAAAAAAAGAAAAAAAAAAGGTTTACATCAGAGCCTTATGAATTTTTGAATATGAAAAATATTTTGCAACAAAACTTTTTTGTTACTTGCAGAGTAGATGTCTTTCACCTGTCAGGATGGTGCCAAGAAAAAAAAAAACAGGAAGAAAAAAAAACAAAAAACAAAACAAGTATGCACTGTGCTTGCTTCCCAGCTGGCTCACTCGTAAATAACCTTCAGCTGACCGGGCTCAAAGTAGCTATGCTGCGCCTCTCTCTTTAGCTAGGCACTTGGCTGAATGCTACTTTGAAGTACAACTAACATTCAACTAACCTCATTAACTGATAACCATTTAAACGGTCTGTTCAAGAAAACATTTTAAAAATTAATAATTTGTGCATCCATCATCCAGAGGTCACTCACCAAATTGTAGGCTACTATTTATAACCCTTCTCTGCATAAACAGGTCACTGAAAAAACATAAAAAACAACAGCTGAAATTACCAGGCTACGGTTAGCTGTTGTTAGCCACTCTTAGCACGGACGGCTTTTTAGTTCGCATATACACATAAAAGATGTTATGACAGCATCTCAAAATATATACATCTAATAATACTTTTGTAGCCTGAGCCTCAGGCTGACTTATTGCAACAATAAAAAGTGAAAAGTGTTAATAAAAGGATTATAATAGAGCTTTAACTTACAGTTTACAACAGGCGCCACCATCTTTAAACACCAGCTCAGGGTCTGTGTTGATTGTCTGACTTTCCAAGTCGGAAATCCAACCTCGACATCCGTTGAAACTTCAGAATTGGAGCTTGTATATTCCTACCTCTGAGAACAACTGGAATGCACCATTAGTCCCTGCAGAATTTCTGCAGTTGATTTCGGTGGGATGTAAAAAACTATTGTTGAAATATGACTGAATTCTCTTGGAACATAATATGGCAGAAGAGCAACTGCCAACAGTTCAGTATTTTTACAACGCAACTTTTCCTTGACAGTAATGCCTGATGGGTTACACCATCTCTGGTTGACAAATTAAGCCAGACCTCCTCCTCTCTTCCTGCAACTAGATAGAACATCTGGGAGATAGATCCACACTGGAGCCTGATTTTTTTTATTCAGCCAGGTTTTAGTGAAACACAAGAGACTGCACTCACCAATTCACCAATTCTTCCAGCTCATTGCTTTTGTTGGGCAGAGTTTTGACATTTACAATGATGATTGATGGAAGGGTTTATATCTCTACCTTCTAGCATTCAGCTTTGCCTTTACCTTTGCACCACTAAAGCTATGTGCTCCCAGTGCATCCCAGCCTGACAGTTGTACAACAAAACATGTAACTAGTACTTATGTAAGTAGCAGATAGCATGGATTCTATGTCAGGTTGGTGAGATTAATTTAAATTTTTGAGTTGGAGATCCAACTTCACAGGGATTTCAGATTAAAATTCGAGTATTTACATGTCTGGTAGCTGGGGTTGGGCCTCGCGCTCTGAGGGCGGCAGCACTGATGCGGCGGCTGAAGCTGGAACTGCTGTGACGCTGCAGGAGCTCAGGGTTTTTTTCTCTGTCGCTTTTCTGGAGACAGAGGAGGAAGAGAGAGCTGCAGGTGGAGGCTCTATGTGGAAATTTTCCATAGACAAGGTGGGAAGCTCTTGATGTGAGGCACCATCTGGAGCTGTGATGTTATTTTTAAAGGACTTCCAGGAGCCTGGACACCGGCCATACATGAAGCTAGGAGAAATAGAATTTTAACTTGCCAGATGAGAGCTCCCACGGACGCGAACACAGCTGTAGTTGTGAGGATTGGCTTCCTCAGTGTTGCATTGCTGATGTTGCGTTTCAGAAAAGTGGTCGATCTGCCATGAATCCTCGTTGTTGCCAGGAAACAACGTGATGAGGAGCAAGGCAGGAATAAGAAAAACACTGATCTGAGTGTTCTCATGGGTGAGAGCTGGCAGAGCGGTTGCAGCTTTGCTAGTTGGCTTTCAAAGCAGACGGAAAGGTTGGGTTCGGGCAGTTTTAAATAGGGCGCTCTAACGGCACAAGACCAATAGGAGCTAGGAGGAAATAGCTGGGCCATCAGTTGGTTGAGATGGCTACTTGCCATTGGCTGCGGATAAGTGCTTGATGTCATAACCATAGACTGTATATAAGATGGACAGAGCCTGCCTCCTTGCTGGGTGAAGCCACTCCGAGAACAGCACCCTCTGATGGTGGGCTGCAGTACAGGTCATAAATCCCGCCTCCGCCAGCAAAGCTTATGGGACTGTGGACAAACTTTAGAAATTTATTACACAGAACATAATTTTTTCTCCCCCCCTGGTTGTGATGTTGACATATAGTCACAGTAAGACTGGTTTGTGCCCAAGTACTTTTATTTCTGTACAGCTCCGTTTTTAAAAGTTATTAGGGGGTTCATGTCTTCTATGATTGACACCTGGTACAGCCTATGGGCGTTCAGGGATTCCAAAGCTCTTCCGGGGGAATACGCTGTTTGAACCGAGCGTCATCACAGGGACTCTTGGCGACTGCGCGGCCGAATGCGCACAACGCTACTGCACAGCTCTGGTTTCAAGGAAGCAGAGAAAAACCCGGAATTACTGAGAGCCGTGTGGCAAATCCGTATACAGGCGGAAGGCGGAACCACGGCGTCCATCTTATATACAGTCTATGGTCATAACCTGCCAGAACTAATGCTATGCTTTATTTTCATTATAATGGGTGTGTGATAATTTTCCCCAAAATAAAATAAATTTGAGTCTCTGGTACGATAATTCTATATTTCCCATCTGGCAACACTGAAACACACAGACCAGACTGAGCAGGGCTCTCAGTGCAATCTGCCAAGAGCATGGTAAATCCTGTTAGAGCCTGCCATGCTCCACAGACTGCACAGGGCTTTACCATGCTCTAGGCAGCTCGCACTGAGAGTCCAGCAAAGCCCATTCATTCAGAGCAGCGCTGAGACATTAATCCTCTATTTTACCGGCAGGGTTTGTTCACTTGTGCTGGGAAATTGGGGGGAACAGATTGGTGTCGCATGAAATCTGAGGGAGACACACACAGTTTGTACTAATTGTTTTGAGAAATACAATACACTATTGTGCAAATGTTCATAGTGATGTGAGAAATGCACCAAAGTGACTTTTACCTGAACTTGTTTTGTGTAGTTTGTATCGGTCATTAATCGGTGCTTTCTGTACTTTGTTTCAGTTTCACAATTTTTGGCATTAAATCTCGTCCAAACACAACTTTGCCTGTTCTTTGAAGGAGGTGATGTTATAAAGAGTTTAACTGGCTGTGAATCTCAGTATAGGACAGGAGTCACATTGGGTGAAGCAGTACAGCCGAAGATGAATGCCTACTTAACTGACCTTATAATCAAACAAGAAATGGAAAGTACAAGTAAATATTAACGTTTCCTAACCTTAACACTTAAAAAAACTCACTCCATCTATGTATTGTATGTAACTTTGGATAAAAGCGTCTGCTAAATGACATTGTACTTTTAATTTTGAAACCTAAGAGTGGGTACAAATAAATTAGCAACATACTCCAACATTTTTAGAACCAAGCAGCATCAATGTTAATACCACTGAAAACTGGAAACTTTTTTGAGTGTTTATAAGGGGTTTTAGCTGTGAGACAGCCTCAAATAGACTCCAGAGGAACAGATATTTTCTGCACTGAGGAATTTGCATTTTTTTTTCGGATCCAGAGGTTACCGTGTGGGCTGTACTAGTTGAGAACCGTTATAATCTTTTTATAGATTTAGCACTTCAGAAAGACAAACTGCAGCACACATGATGAACTACGACTGAGCCACACATTGTCACATTTAAGATTTTTATTAGAAACCAATACTTACCATGACCCTAACTTTTCACTCCATAAGATAATCACAACCTCAAGAAAAATATATAAAGAACACCTTCCCCTAATTCAATCTGGTGCCTCCTGCCTGGATCAGTCAGACAGGCTAGCATGCAGCAACAATCACAGTCCATAAATTAAGGAAAAGAAGTATATGGCAAAATGTTCTTCTGAAGGTTAATGACATGGCCAACTTGTCAACTTGGCCAACTTTTTCTCCTGCTATGTGTCTGAAAAAAGAGAGGACTTTGGCCTCATCCTCTGTTATACAACTTCAAACATCCAGATTCACCATAGGTACCTTCAGTTATTCGCAGTCAGCTCTGTTTAGGATGGACGCTTAGAACAAGGATGCAAAGATTTAAACTCTGTCTCAGTTTAGGGGTGTCCATCCTAATCTGTCACACACAAAAGAAAAAAGAACTAAAGTCTGGCTTCATCCTCACTCAGACTTCATATCTAATTATATTTCCTCTGTCCCTGTACAATTACTCAGTAACAGATCTGACTCGGTTTTTAAGAATAACATTGATGAAATGAATAAAAATTCATCCTCCCACTGTGGCTATTATCAGTGTAGAGCACTGCACAATATTATTTACTGCAGCAAAGCCCCTGAACTTGGCTCTTCCGGTGCTAACATGAACAATGTGAACAGCTTAAGATGACAAAGAGGGGAAAAAACATGAAACCTACAAGATGTCGTCGACAAACAAATAAGTTTTACTACCTCCCAATGTAAATTTTCAGCTGTGTAAAAATAAACATACATGGCATTGTTTATGAGACAATTAAATTACAAACAGAACATTATAGAACATGGAGGAGCATACAAGGACATTGATCTAGAGTATTTTACTGCAAAAACACAGTAGAATAATTTATTTTGGTGAGAATGACTAAGATTCAGTTTGTTACTCATGGCTGCGACCCCCTCCCCACCAAGTCGAAACCCTGAGTCCAACAGTCCTCTGTTGTCGTGGAAACCTAATGACACAAAAGCGCAAAGGCTCTACTGCTGGCCTTCTTTCTTCTCTCCCTCTGATGAGCCTGAGCTGCTGCTGCTGCTGCTGCCCTCTCGCTCTGCTGCCATCTGCAGGAAGGAAAGTGAGAGCTGTGTACTGGAAGATTTTGTGTTTACGGCTAGATAATGCATTTCATATATATATAAGATTAAAAAAACATTTTTTTAAAACAGCAATCGTAAAAATGCAGGAAAATTGAAATTAAAAGGTGAATGTCTGTGCATTCAAATTTGCAGGATTGTAATAAAACACAATCTGAGTGAGGGGATCGAGCAATTTTAAAAAGGCATGACAGTGACAACAGACAGGAAGCACAGGATACCAGGACCAATATTTAATCTAAGGAACAGTAAACACAGGTGGTTCAACAGCCAAAGCCGATTCTGATTATGGGTGGAGGGTCACCCAACACATGCATTTAAGACATCCTGAAACGTCTTTCGGCGTTTGAAAATTGAATTGAGGTTACTATAAGGCCAATACAAGAACATGATGTACTTTGTTTTTCTAAGCAATATCTCATTATACTGGGTTAGATTCATCCAAAAAGTAGATTTCTTTCTTTTCAGTTCCTCTTTGTTTTCTGTAACTTTATCATAATTACCACATAACTCCTGTCATGTTAAATCTGTCCCCTCTTTTATCCAGACTAAAGTACTGACAGCAACTAATTGTGCAAAATCAAAAACTAACACCTCTTCATCTGGTGCTAATCCCTAATAATGGTTGTAATGAGGGACACGAGCAAGATGGCCGCAGGTGAACCACGCAACAGGCCCTGAGCTCCTTCTTCTCTTGGATTCCTCTAGGCTGTTAGCTGCATCGCCTATGATTGTCCACCTCAGGCCCTGAGCTCCTTCTTCTCCTGGATTCCTCTGGACTTCTACTACAGACATGAACATCAGCCTTACTGAAATTAATAACATAAAACTAGAACTGACTACGATGAGGCCTGCTGACTGTAATCACATTTAATTAATTTAACATTTTTTATAACCACTCATATCCTAACCCTGTAAACTGAACTCATTTTGTTTCACCATTACATGAGCTGCTGTTGTTTCTGCTGTCCTCTGTCTCTCTCTCCCCCTCGTTCTCGACTCTCTCTCCCTCCTCCTCCCTCTCCTTACTCATTCTCTCTCTCCTTCCCCTTATCTTGTTCTCTCTCTCTCCCCCTGCCCTCTCCCCTCTTCCATGTCTCTCCTCTCTCTCCCTCCATCTCTCTACATTCCTCCCCAACCCAGCAGCGGTATGGTGGCTGTCTAACATGAGGCTGGTCCTGCCCAAGGTTTCTGCCTGTTAAAAGGAAGTTTTTTCTTGCCACTGCTACTCGTGTTAGTTGAGATGGGCCAAAACCCATCTTAGGTTGGTTCTTGATCATCAAACAATGAGCGTGGTCTAGACCTGCTCTTGTTCTTTGAAAAGCGTCTTATGGCGCTATATAAATAAAATTTGATTGACTGATTGATAAAAAGGATTGTGCACAGAATGAGATTTAATTTATCTAACTTCAGATTTATTACAAATAACTTGACTCCAGAATTGGCTAAGCTATACCTCGATGCAGTGATTATGTCACACAGGCTTTATTGCATAACTAGCTGGACAACAGCTTGTAAGACAGCTTTGAAGCCAATTGAAACAGTCCATAAACAGGCCCTAAAGGTACTTGATAGAAAACCTAATATGTACCATCACTGTCTGATACTGAAGAAGCATGGGCGACTAAAATTTGACAACATTATTAAGTACACGTTAAGGCTGCATGATATTGGAAAAAACTAACATTGCGATTTTTTTCAACCCTGCGATATATACTGCGATATTAAAAAATACAGGAATTTTTACCAGATGACCTGAATAGCACTTAATGTTATGCTGCACTGCTGAAGTCTTGAGGACAGTTAACCTGCGCTGATCTTACCCCTTTTTGTGAATGTTAGTAGAATGGCTTCTGTCGGTCTCAGAGATATTTTAGCTTTTATTGTGCTGGGACGTTGTTGTGGCAACAGATGAACACAATATGTGTTTTGGTCGACATCATCCATCTTGTAACTAAAATAATTCCAGAGAACTGACTTTCCTTCTTTGGCAACAAGTCTTCATCTTCTGTGGTTTTCTCTGTTTGTTGCTCAGTTTGCGATCGTTGTTGTTGTTACCGGGGCAGTGTTGAGGAACGCATGTCCTTCGAGAATTGCATGCACCTCACAAAACGCGCACTGCTTATAGTAGAGTAGTCCATGGAAATGTACAATTGTAAACCCTTATAATTGTTTTTTGTTGGGCTAAACAGTGATGGGTAATGTTCCAAAAGTAATTCTCAGCAGACACGCGTTTCTCGGCTCAATTCCGGTAGCTCCAGCGACTCACTCCATGTGCAGAACATGTGCAGGGGTGGGTTTCCTCCTCTCTGATTTAATTTACAGCTGGCAGGGTAGTCTAATTGGCAACTGAGAACTGAGTCTGATTGGCAACTGAGTAAAGAACGAAGATGATTGGTGGATCGCTGCAAAGCACATGCAGTGTATCTCAGTCAGTTACCCTTGAAACTAATTGAGTTCATTTGCCTCTTACATTGCAGGCTCTGCTCTGTGACTATTGCACAAACGTACATCGCGATGACAATGCTTAGACGATATATCGTGCAGCCCTAGTACACAGACTCTGGATTGATCTACAAAATTATTCATAGTCAAGCTCCACCTCAACTTCAAGAATTTATTAAAAAAATCCAACCAGATCAACCAGAGCAAGCTCTAGAGGTGACTGTGTTGTGCCGCTTAGGAAAAGTGCTTTTGGTCAAGCTGTATTCTCCTTTTGTGCATTGCAATCCTGGAACCAAATACCTAGCACCATACATGAACTCCCAACCCTCACTTCTTTTACTAGACACCTCAAGTCATGGTTGCTGGAAAACCAGATCTGCCATCATAATCATGTCTAAAAATTGTTTGTCACGATTAAATGGCCAATTGCTTTGGGGTACCACTCTTAATTTGTTCTGGTATACATATTCTCATTCATATATGCAAATGTGTTACTAGAAGTTTACATAATACATATGTGTATACAAACCATGTGCAATTTTAGAGGTTCATCTGCTAGTGTAATCGTGTGCTATGGTTATCGTGCAATTCAATGTAATTTCGCACTTATGCACTCGTCACTTCAACAAGCTGTAATGTAGCAAATGGCACTTTAAACACCTTTAGCACATGACACTTTAATTAGCACTTTAGCACTTAAGAATTCTCTTTTTGGTCGCTTTCACACCAGAGCTGTTTGGTCCACTTAAAATGGACCGGAGTTCATTTCGTCGGATAGTCCGCTGGTGTAGGGGCAGGTGTGAAAGCTCATCCGAACTCTGGTCTGCCTGAAAACGTGGGTCTCGGTTCGCTTGCAAGTGAACCCTGGTTCGTATGCAGTGTAAAAGCTCACCGGACTAAACACTGGACCAAATGTACATAATGACGCTATACGCAGTGCATACCCAGTGCATCTTGGGTAGAGGAAGCACGGCGTCACTTGTTGCTATGGCAACATGTGACCACTGACATTAGCAGTTGCTAGCTAGCTTAGCTCAATTGTCTGAACAACAATAACCCATAAATTCACAATTTGGCATATTTTAACAAAATCAAATCACAACTACCAACAGTCACAGTCCTTAAACTCTGAGCTCATATGTTGTCACATGTTAGATTGTTAAAGTTAGAAAAATAACAGGATCAATCACTGACAAGCTCAGTAGTATTATAGGAATAGTTGCGTTCACTAACGTTGCAGCATTCCATTAAATAATTTGACTAAGCACAATACAAGATGGCTAGTCCACCTCTGTTTGTAATCCGTGAGGTTACATACCCCTCCTACTTTGTCCAATCAACGAGTGCCCCTTTCAACCACTTGATGCTGCTCATTAAGTTCGGTGCACTTTAGAAATCACAGTGTGAAAGCAGAACCGAAACAAGTGAAAAATGCAACAATGTTGCTACTTTCAGTTCCCCAATCGAACAGAGTCCGCTTGGTCAGGTGTGAAAGCGAACTTAACCTTTTTGGTCCCCTTACTATTGGTCACATAGTTTTTGGTCTGTGTACATTGTTTATGTATATTATGTGTATGTTGTCAGTGTGTTGTTTTACTGTCTTAGTCATGTTATTTGTACTTTTAACAGTATTGCTTTTATGTTTAACATCAACCTGCCAATGGTACTGGGGATGGAAATTAACCATTTGGCTATAATCCCACATATTTACATGTAAATGTTTATCAATATGTACTGTTCCCATTTAAAAAAATAAATACAATACAATATTGAACAGTAAAGTTTTGTTAGATTTACCTTCTTGTAGGCCATTTCAAAGAGTTTGAGTGATGCCTGTTGCAGGGTGGTGGCTGCCTGTTTGATATTCTCTCCTGTTTCTGACTCCTTGTTGGCCAGAAGGTCCCGAACCTTTGTGATCTCCTCCTTCAGCTTGGTACACTTAAAGCAGAGAAATCAGAGAATTAGAAGTTATCACAGACAGTCTAATTTTTAAACAGCTGTATCCAAGAACCAAGGTTTGCATAACTGTATGAAGAAAGACAAATCTGAAAATTTACAAGTTAAACTTAACAAGTCTAATTAAGCAAGGACTAAAAATGTTAAGCACTCTTAACTGTGTTCATTTAAACTTTTTTTCTGATCTTTTTAGCACATTGGAAAATCTTGAGGATTTAAGCTCAAAACATTTTACCTCATCAGCAGGCAGCTGGTCCTTGAACTCCTCCATCTTGGACTCTGTATCATGGATGATGCCTTCAGCCATGTTGACTGCCTCTACACGATCCTGTGCAAAACAACATGTGGGTTAGAGAGGGGAAACTATACACGATAATGTTGAACATTTCAATACTACCACACTTTTTTTCAGTTTAATTGGGATGCATGGTATCAGAATGCATCCCAATTAATTTTGTTTATCAGCAGATTAGAAAATGTCAGAAGATACAACTGCTGTTAAAAAAATGATGCATTAATTGTAAACACATAATGACAGATTACATAAATTGGCTGTACACAAGTGTATTCAAGTGTTGGAAACAGATTGTAGACACACTACTACTTGTTGATATCTTAAGAATATAAACACTGCCTGGCCAAAAAAAAATCACACACTAATATTTCAGTGGAGAGTCCGACCACTGCTCCAAGCCATCTCAAGTGGATCCCAAAGATTAAGGTCTGGACTCTGTGGTGGCCAATCCATGTGTGAAAATTATGTCTCATGCTGCCTGAATCACTCCTTTACAATTTGAGCTGAATGAATCCTGGCATTGTTATTTTTGAACATACCCATTCTATCACGGAAGAAAAATATCCATTAATGGAATAACCTAACCTAAACTAAGGTGATAATATAAGAACTTCATTTATCCCTAAGGAGAAATCCAATTGTCTGGGTTTCATGTCAAGTTTTATGTCATCTATTATTTACAGTCAAGCTGTAGAGTCTGATGGCTGTGGGTACAAAAGATCTTCTGAGTCTTTGTTCTGCTTCTCAATGAGAGGAGCCATCCACTATCATTGGTCGTTTGGTCCACGGTGCTATGAAGTGGAAGATCCATGTTTTTTAGAATAGTCTCCACCTTCCTCAGTGTGCATCTCTCCACCACATCCTCCAGTGTGTCCAACTTGAGTCCAACCACAGAGCCAGCTTTTTTCACCAGTTTGTTCAGGTGTCTTGAATCTTTGTGTTTGATACTGTCTCCCCATGCTGCATAGAACACTTTCCACCACAGATGGCTAAAACGTGCAGCATCTGCATGTCTATTGATTGGAGTCTTCTCAGGCTAAAGGGTGGCCCCTTTTTTAAGATGAAGTATAAGTTTTTAGACTGGTCTAACTTATACAGGTATACACCTAAATATTTATACAATGTCCACAACCCCAGGTGTTCACTGGCTGAAGAAGCGGGTTGAATCTGTGAAAGCCTATGATCATTTCCTTTGTCTTTGAGGACTGTCAGCACAGTCTTTGAGCAGCCTTGGACATACTTCAGCCAGGCCAGCTTCCTTCCCAGGGCAGTCTGTCAAGCTCCAACCTGACCCCTTTTTCTGTGACAGACAAGGACTGATGTACTAGGAGGGAGGAAGCTGCAACAGTTGAGACATCGGAACAAGATGAAAGAGGAAGGGGAGAAGTTGTAGTTAAGATTTCAATATGTTGAGGAGAGGAAGGTGGAGTAGCAGTGGAAGTGGGTGTGACAACAGTGTGAAATCTGTTGAAGAACATGTTAAGTTCATCAGCTCTTTCCACATCATCTACTATTCGCTGTCTTTTCTTTTCATTGTTGTGTCCAGAGATGGTACTGCTTCCTCTCCACACCTCACAGATGTGGCTGTGCTGTAAATTCCTCTCTCTCTTCTCTTTGTATTCCAGCTTTACCATCTTCAGTCTCCTCTTCAACTCTTGATGACAAGGAACAACTCAGACGGTTGCAACATCTCTAAAAGCTTTCTTTTTCTGGTTGAGGATTGCTTTTGTGTCATTTGTGATGCAGGTTTTGTTGTTGGGGAAACAGCAAACAGTCTTCGTCAGTATAACTGTGTCTCTACAGAAGTTGATGTATTCAGTAAAGCGGTCAACCTGTAAATGTTCATATGCTGCACTCCAGTTGAAGTCATAGCTGGGAATGACGTGACACCCAAGTTGACGGTGTGTTAGTAAACAAGTTGGAAAACCAAGATGGACTGTTAGAATAGAATAGAATAGAATAGAATAGAATATTCCTTTATTGATCCCCCATGGGGGAAATTGTTTTGTCGTTACAACAGCATCACAGACAAAGTGCAAATAATGCAGTTATTTTCTAATTAAGGAAAAATTTAGAAAAGGAAAAAAGGAGAAGAAAAAAAAGCTGTTAGCTGTTAACAATTGTGAGCTGTAGTTAACAATTGTGAGCTGTCATTAGCCGTTGTCAGTTGTTGTTAGCGGTTGTCAGCTGTTGTTAGCTATACCAGTTATACACAACGCATAACACAGTATTTTACTCTTACAAACACCATAGCACTGTGTTTACAGTTGGACGTTGGGTAGTACAACATATACCACTTATTTAATTTTGCAAAACCAAAAGAGAAGTGCTAATAAATAATACATTACCAGAGCTTTCAATGTTACTCCTTACTGTTGATGCACTGCGCCTCCATCTTGGATTTTACTTTTACCATTTTATGTTGCTTTACCACTGCCCCTATGACTAGTGCTTTCGCTGCAATCATTATCATTTATGGAGGCAATGAAGCCCGTTCCCTGCTAGAGGGTGCTAAGCCCAAGGCACCTCATGGTCACTTCCTTACCAACCCAAAATTTTGTAACTCCACCCTTGGTCCTTGAATATCAGTAAAAAGCAACACCATGCTAAAGAAAAACTTGACCACTTGCCCAAGCACAGCAGCTGACCATCATATGTCTCACACAGAGTTTCTAATGCTTCTATGTTGCCTGCTTGTCCATCTGTTACCACCACCTCAGACCGTACCACACTTGTAACATCTCAGGACTTTAAATCTCTTACACCTCAATATTAGAAGTCTGCTCCCAAAAATGGACAATATTAACATTCTCATTCATGAAACCTCACCAGATGTTACTGTCCGAAACATGGCTCTCCTCCAAAATATGAAATGACAACATAAGCATAGACGGTAGGGATGTGCCGATATATGATTTAATCGGGATATGCAATATTAAACGACCGCGATGATGAAATCGTGAGGTACTGTAATAATTGTTCCAAAATTTTAATTTAAAGACAAGTGGCAGCATTACTCAGCGGAGGCAAGCGAAGCCGGGTACTAACTAACCTAACCCGCTTGTAGTCTTGCCCACGATGTCAAAGCCTCGGTAGCAAAATGTACAAACAAACCACCAGAAAGGTGGTTCCAAAAAAACTCTCAAATTAAGTACATTGATGCCAGCCTAACAAAAATGGGAACATTAAAGGGAAAATGAAGAAATTTTACAACAAAATGCGTGGCCACCCACAATGCATTGCGGCCACCCAAAGCACTGTTGGAGCGTGTCCACAATGCATCCCATCCACTCATTAGCTTCTTAAAGTGGAGGAGATATGATCTGATATTTTTAAAAACACGAGTATTAGATCATGACAACATGTCAAATGGAGCAGCAAACTTACGTCCTGTTTTTATGTGTCCCAAAAATGCACATATAGAGATGTACTTGGGTACATAAACTGTACAGTAAGCTGTCAAGGTAGAGAGCATTATATTTTCATGACAGCCAATATTCAGAACCAGAGGGCTATTGTTTTCGGCTTATCTGAATTGTCTGAATGAAATCATTATAGGCACACGCTTTTGAATCCACCCAATGTTAAGGGAAACTTGGATTATTTCGCCTTGTTATGTACTTTCAACCGCGCTCCCGTCAGGGGTGCATTCAACGGCAGGGGTGCATTCTACGGCATAACACCAGAACAAGTACAGTCGGAGACTAAGAATGATGAAACTCCTCTGGTGTATCCTCCTATTAAAAAGGTTTCGTCGGCAGTATGGGCATTTTACGGCTTCACAAAACAGACGGAGCAGGTAAACCTGACACCAATCTTCAGATTATGCTGTAAGGAAGTTGCAGCGCTGTCTCAAACACTTCAAACCTATGTGCCCACCTCCGTGAACACCATCCAGCATCATTCGCCCAAATCGAGGTGAAAACAACATGACCGCAACAAGTTTGGTCTACTCTACTGCTTATTATTGACAACGTTTGTGACGTTTCTGCTTACTTAAGCCCAAAAAAGCGGATGCTCCCAACGCCATGTTAGCTGCCTCTTGCTCATATTGTTTGTGCGTGTCATGCTGTGCACAGAGAAATGATTTCGCAGTTTTTTGCTATTTTTAATAACGTTAGAAGCCATGCGCTAATCTCTTGATAATATCGTGAATCAGGGGCGTCACTAGACCTAATACTGTACTGGGGCACACCTGGGGCACAAAGATTCATGAGAATGCGCGAAAAAAACAAATAGTTCTTAAAACTATTCAGTCGTATCAGACTATGTTGTTGTCTAGATCTTTGATTAACCACCTAAAATGTACTGTGGCAATGCATTTGGCCTACTTGTGCACTCTGGACTTTTAAACCACTACTGATAAAAGCGAAAAGGAAGAGCAGTGAATCTTTTTGAAATATTTAAGTAAACATCTGCAAATTGAACATTTACAAAAGTAAAAAAAATAAAATACAGCACCCCAGTCTACTGTGCTATTTTTCTGTGAAATAAACTTGAATGGTTTAAAAAGTTGGCTCACGACTTGATGATAGGGAAAAATGTTTTTCTTCCTGAAGATAGACCCTTTGAGAACCACTGCACCATCCATAGGCTATATCTGTCAACTAACACAAGCTTACTCAAAATCATCATTGAAGCAGAGGTCCTGAGCAGAACCAGCAGACCATAACCAACATAATGTTTCATGCTGATGAAACTCACTGGAAATTCCCCCCACAGCTCACACAGCAAATTAATATGGTTGTATTGATACAAGGAAAACCGTTAGATAACTTATCATTAATTTAAGATAGACTTATGTTGCCTAGCTAGCTAGGACTTCACTTGCCTCTCTCATTCCTCGCTGCTTTATCCTAACAAACTTTCTGATATTCATCTCGGAGTCAAATCAAAATCAAAATAATATATAATTTATTTAAGTTGTTGTCGACTAATGTTACCTACCTCACGCAGTTATTCTCATCGCTGTCTTGATTTCGAGTTGACACAGAAGTATCATCAACTGAAGTCGCTACATGTGAATAAATACCATATTAATTAGCCATGTGCGCATTGTTTATGTGGGGTGAATACAGTAGCACTGAATTACCATACTAAGTAGCATATGCGCTGTAGTCTATGCTGTGTATACTTAACACTCTGAAGTGATTTGTTTTTATTTGTGAAATTTTTACTGGGGCACTGCAGATCAATACTGGGGCCTGTGCCCCAGTGAAATCTGTCTGGCGACGCGGCTGTCATGAATCCTGATATTTCGGGCCATTAATATTGTGATATCAAATTTTCCATATCGGCACATGCCTAATAGACTGCTATATTATTTTTAGATGTGATCGTAAAAGCAAAGGAGGAGGACTTTTAATTTATGTAAAAGACTGTTTAACAGTACATGAACTATCATCATCGTCTGTTCTTAAAAGCTTTGAATATATTGTGCTGGATTTATGTTTTGGAAATGACTATCATGTTATCATGTTGATGCTGTTGATGACATTGGTAAGGTCCTCTCTCAATACATCACATCATAATTAACAGTTATGGGAGATTTAAACCTGAACCGGCTCTCTGACAGCTCTAAAAAGTTGACAGAACTGTGTCTTGAACTCAACTTGACTCAACTTATAGACAAACCCACCAGACCAAATTTAAACTATCCTCTCCATTCCACTTTACTTGACATTATTCTTACAAACAGACCACACAATTACACTGCTTCCAGAGTTTTCCCACTTGACAACAGTGATCATTGTCCTATTGCCTGCATCTTTCTTATTGATTTATCTACTTCAAACATAAATGACACCTTCGCTATAACAGACCCTTCTGAGGCACTGGCACGTTTTTCGCATTCTTTTAATATTATTCCTACAGATACAGATACAGTCCCTGGTTCTGCCCACAACTCGCCAACGTCATCCATAGTAGAGATAAAACGTGCTCCAAGGCTAGATCTAGTGGTACTGCTGAAGACTGGTTAGTTTTTTGACAAAAAAGAAACATTAGCACCAGTATTATCAGGAAGGCCAAATCCAATTATTATCTCTCAGCTCTCTCTGCCTCTGATAGCTCTGCTTCATTCTGGAAAACAATGGCATCTCATAAGAATCCTTCATGCTCTCAGCTCCCTCTACATATTAAACAAGCATCTGGTTATACTTGAGATAAATTGTCCATAGTTGAAATCTTTAACAATCACTTCTTATCTTCTGGTCTTTTATACAGTAATTTGTCTTCTCCATCATCCAAAAACACTTACCATAACCTAAATTTTCTTTTACTTCAGTTAGCAGAACTGATGTTTTCAAAATTCTATGTAGGTTTAAGGCTTCCAAAAACACAGGTGCAGATCGTCTCCAACCATACGTCCTTCAACTAAGTGCTCATTTCATCAGTCCTCTCTTAGCTCACATTTTTAACCAAACCTTTGCAACTGGCATCATCCCAACTTCCTGGAAAAACTCATCGTTGACTCCCCTACATAAAAATGGTGACATCTCTGACCTCAATGACTACCATCCAATTTCCAAACTTCCCTTTTTAGCTAAAATCCTGGAATCATTGGTCAATCTTCAGCTACGTCTTATCGATTCATCAAACATACTTCAGCCACAACAGTCTGGTTTTAGCCCTAGTCACAGCCACAGTTTCAGTCTTAAATGACATTGTCTCCTTTCTGAATAGTAAACAATTTTGTGCTGCTCTTCTTATCGACCTCTCCAAAGCATTTGATACTGTGGATCATAAAATCTTACTTCACAAATTACAGTGCATAGGTCGAAATAGCTCTTCAATTAACTGGTTCCATTCTTACCTCTCTGACAGAACTCAGACTGTTTGGTTTTCAATCTAGTCCACTCACTTTCATAAAGAGGTCTATCCTTGGTCCACCGCTATTTACACTTTACATCAATAATATTATTCTACCAATCCAATATTGTAACGTCCATTTTTTCGCTGATGATTGTATTTTATATGCCCCCTGTTCTACCCCAGCCCAAGCTCTCTCCAATTTACAGACTGCCTTTGACTTTTTTCAATTATCTCGCCGTAATCACAGACTAGCTTTAAATGCTGAAAAAACAAAATGCATGATCTTCTCCACATCATCCACCATTAGAATCTGTGACCTTCCCACAATCACGACCCTAAATAGTTCAAGAATTGCCCTCACTGATTCTTACAAATATTTAGGAATTTGGCTAGACAGTAATCTATCTTTCAAGACTCATATTCAGAAATTAACTCAAAAATAAAAAATTAAATAAGGCTTTTTATACAGAATCAAAGGCTGTCTATCACCGTCCAACCAGAAAATCATTGTACAATCCACCTTTATGTCTGTCCTTAATTATGGTGACATCTTGTATTGCCATGCAGCCCCATCAACTAGAGATGCACTGATTGCAATATTCTTGGCCGATACCGATTTCCGGTTTTAAAGGAGGTCTGACCTGCTAAAACAGATTTTTCCGATACCGATTTTCTATCTGAGAAATAATTAAAATCATATAATAGACACCATATTTGTTTGGCTTGAGTACCCTTTCCCAATTTTAATTTAAGTACCCCTCTCCCAGACAACATTTTGCTTAACTGCAATTAAAAGCACAACTAATGGTAGGCTATATGCTATCATAACCCCCCTTTTCAAGAATAAAACCTCACAAATAAGAAATAGAGTGAGAGCGCCTCCTGAGCAGATTTATTTTCAACACTGACCATAACATTCAGTCCAGTTTACAGGTCAATAACTAACTTACATTCAAACAACATTCAAAAACGTCCCAGCATTTGCCTGGTACAATGTAATTTATTGACTACCCCTCCAGTACCTCTCTCAACCGACTCTGGCAGCGCTGTGTCAGAAAAGTACCGCCTACTTGGTAGTTTGTACCAATCAACGCCTAAGACATTTGGAAGAACAAACTTAATACACCACTTGGAAAAGAAGCACCCAGGCTTGTTTAGCAAATATAAGGAATACACTGCCGCTAAGAGGAGGGATGCAGCAGAGTCGCAGCGACCACAACAACCCTCCGCAGTGGCTCCTATATTCGACATCAGCACTGAAAAGGCTTCGTAAATCTGGTTAAACACCTGAGTCCACGGTAAAAATTACCAAGTAGGGTGTTTCATCAGATTCACGAAGCCTTTATCCTGTACTACGCTAAACAGCTGGTCCTCCAGTGCCACGAACTCCATTATTTTCCTAGTGGTGGCTTTGGACTTTTCAGTGCTGATGTCGAACATAGGAGCCACGGCGGAGGGTTGTTGTTGTGGTCGCTGCGACTCTGCTGCATCCCTCCTCTTAGTGGCAGTGTATTCCTTATATTTGCTAAACAAGCCTGGGTGCTTCTTTTCCAAGTGGCGTATTAAGTTTGTTGTTCCAAATGTCTTAGGCGTTGATCCTCCACGGCTGACTTTTGACGTGCAAGCATTACAAACAGTGTGTTTTGGGTCGCTCTGGCACACAGTGTCAAATCACCGACATGTTTTCCTCCTGAGTCTTGCTAATTTTTAGCAGTTTTGCTCTGGGCTGATACGCACCGCGCATGAGTGTCAGTTTGCTCAGGGAAAACCGGCAAATTACGACAGTGACCGGCCGGTCACCAGTTGGGGCCGGTTGGATATAAAACCGGCCGATTTATTGGTGCATCTCTACCATCAACTATTCAGCAGTTAAATCCTGTTTATCATAGTGCACTACGTCTCATCACTAATGACAAAGTTCGCACTCATCACTGTTACCTCTATCAAAAGGTTGGCTGGACTTCTTTACAGTCGGGAAAAGACATCCATCTCATGTTTTTCATCGATAAAGCTCTTCTGCTGAAGCTTCCCAGCTACCTAACATCTTTTCTTTTATTTAAACCTAGTAGCCACAGATCACAGTAACTATCCGACCTTAGATATTCCATATACCAATGCTTCTTTTAAATGGAATGAGCTGCAAACTGCTCTTAAACTGGAGTCTCTCATTCAACTTGGAAATTTTAAATACCTGTGATCTGATGTTTACAATAATCGCTTTAACTGTTTTAACTGATTCCTTTTTTACCTCTTGTTTGTTGTGCTGTGTTGATTGTGAATTTTCCTTGTTCTCGGGCTTCTCTTGTAAAAGAGATCCCGATCTCAATGAGACTGCCTGATAAAATAAAGATTAAATAAAAATTTTAAAAAATGTTAAGGCACAGGCACAGAAACAGCCTGTTCTCAGTGGACTCAAATAGAGGGGGGTACAAGCTGGCTGATATCCACAGATAAACTGGTGTTTTAGACAAAAAACTTTAAATTTACTTTAGTGGGACCTCTTGGACCGATTTGAACTTGATGAAAAATGCCCTAACAGGGGGCCTTAAAGTCGCAGGCTGCATCGGTACACGAGGTCTGTAACAGCTCTGCAGATAGACCAAGTTATGATCTGACTGCCCAGTGGTCGTAAGGCAGTGGCTCTGTAAAGTTCTTTGACATTGGCATACAGCAGATCCAGGTTTTTTTTTTTTACTCCGATAGGACAGTTAACAAACTGTGTAAATCCAGTCAGGTGAGAGGAGAGGGTGACATGGTTGAAGTCTCCTGATATTATTATTAGTGCCTCAGGGTGCTGAGTCTGTATCATGTAAAACATTGCGCAGAATTTCAGCCATTGCCTTGGGTGGGATGTAAACAAGTATTGTTATGATATGACTGAATTCTCTTGGAACAAAATCTTCTTGCCACAAGCTTTAGCATCTCTGTCTGATCTTATGAGAGTAAAGCCAGGTAAATCCACGCTGGAGTCAAAAAAGTTATTTTGATTCAACAAGGCTCCAATAAAACACAGGAGACTGGACTCACGGTATGCTTTCTCAGACTTCACCAATATCTCCATCTCATCACTTTTGTTGGGTAGAGAGTTGATGTTTCCCATGATGACTGAGGGAAGAAAGGTCTTATTCTCCACCTCCAAGCATTCAACCTTGCCTTCAACTTGGTCATTCAGTATATTCAGGTCATCAGCAGACCTCAATCTTTGGGCATATAATGTTGCTGATCCTAGACCTGACCAACTGCAGCAACCCCAGATCATAGCAATGCCTCCACAGGCTTGTATGGTAGGCACTAGGCATGATAGGTGAATCACTCATCCACTAAGTAAAAAGCATTGGTGTAACTGTAGATAACAACAGACTACCAACAGACTTCTACAACTAGGATAAAGTGACATACTCCAGGACCCAAGGAAACAGTTTAGCGGCACTACAACACGCAGCAGGTCAACAAGAAACACCTCTGTTACAGACACTTGCCTTACTTTGTTAAAGCACTTTACATGTCCAGCAGAGAAGTTACAGGGTCCCTAAGATCCCGAAGCGTCCCCCATCGTTTATGCCTCATTGGTGTTGACCCAGCTTTTTAGCTTTGGTCTGGTCTACCTTCTTTTTGAGCACCATTATTCCGCCAGAGACTCCAGTATTTACTTCGTTTTCTTGCTTGTGTTGGTGGTCGTTGCCAAAGGAGGATTCAGACAACTTTCCGTACTTTCTGTTTGGTTTCTGCAGTCTGATATTGTAGCATGCTAACTTTGTTTGGGCTTGTGCATGTTATTCGAGGACGAGGATTGTACCTCACAACACGAGGGAGCAGCATCTGCCAAAGGAGGATTCAGACAACTCTCTGTACTTTCTGTTTGGTTTCTACAGTCTGATATTGTAGCAAGCTAACTTTGTTTGGGGTTGTGCGTGTTATTTTAGGATGAGGAGTGTGCCTCACAACAAGAGGGAGCAGCATCTGCCCCGCAACCAATCAGGTCAGGGAGGTGGAGAATGACTTTGTTTACAGTCAGAAAGAGCGGGCTGTTCAACAATTTTAAAAATTTGACTACACAGGCATAAGAGAACACAGCGATATCGTGATATTCCCAAAAGTCATCAATAACTAATAGCTATTTAAATCTAGTGGACAGAATGAATACCTGTTAAAGTTTACTTCCCTGTTTCTCATCTTTACCTTCCTCCTTCTGTCCTCCTCTGCATACTTCTCAGCATTCTTGACCATGTTCTCAATATCATCTTTGCTGAGTCCTCCTGATGACTGAATCACAACTAAGGAAAGACAACACATAACACAAGATCTTAAACAGGAGCACTGTGATTATTTAGTGGTGCATTGACTATAACATAGAGAATAAACTGCTGCAAAAACCAAGTGATACTGGATCGGTTTTGGCAGTCATGTGATTATGCATGATGATTGATACATACTCTGCTGTTCTCGGCCTGTGCCTTTGTCCTTGGCGGAGACGTGGACAATGCCATTAGCATCAATATCAAAGGTGACCTCGATCTGAGGAACGCCCCGAGGTGCAGGTGGGATTCCTACCAGGGTGAACTGACCCAGCACCTTATTGTCTGCTGCCATCTCTCTCTCACCCTGGCACACCTTAATCTCTACCTGAGTCTGCCCATCAGCAGCTGTGGAGAACACCTGGAGTAGAGGAGAGACAGGGAGTGAAACATTGTTACACACTGGTCAAGAAAAAAAAAAAAAACTGAATTAATATTAGACCATAAATTACAGGCTGTCCCCTTATGTACCTGACTCTTCTTGGTGGGGATCGTAGTGTTCCTGTTAATGAGTTTGGTGAAGACCCCGCCCAGCGTCTCGATACCCAGTGACAGTGGAGTCACATCCAACAGCAGCACATCAGTGACATCACCTGCCAAAACTCCACCCTGGATGGCTGCTCCCATGGCAACAGCCTCATCAGGATTCACAGACTTGCTGGGAGCACGGCCAAACAGATCCTGAACAGTTTGTTGAACCTAAAGAGAAACACACAAGAGTTTTACATCTAAAGCTCTACTTCAGCTGCATGTTAGTGTCATATGATACAAAAATATCAAACTATATCAGAAAAATGTCGTATGTCTTTTTTATGGAAAACTTGGTAATCATAGACTATATATAGTATTTACTATGTGGCTCTGCCTCCTGTCATTGTGCAATGTATATGTGTATTGCTATAGGGCAGTTGTTGCTGAAGTTGGTATGACTAGAGAAGCAAGCAGTCGGCATAAATCGTCTCTCAAGGTCCTTACACACCAGGCGCGAATTCGCCAGGTGAATTATTCGCCTTTATTCGCCTTTTTTTAAAACAACATAAAGTCAATGCAAGCTTCCACACCGGCAGCTATTTTTCCGCGGCGATTAAAGGCTCTTTTATTTTTTCACTCTTGTGTCGAATTTTTCTGAGATTCCCAGGCGAATATCTGGACCTGCTAGACCTCTGGCCAATCAAAAGTCATGTTGTTAATGATGGCACAGACCCATGCGGCTGCAGTTCACACGACACACACGACCACTAGCACCAAGAGCAACGATGGGGGAGAGTGTGTACCACAGAGTGGTCACCCGGTGTGTAAAAGCTAAAGCTATTTTTCGGACCGGCAAATATCTCTGCATTTTCGTCCCGCTTTTTCGCTTCGCAAATTGGCTGGTGTGTAAGGACCTTCAGTGTTACGGTGTGTTTGACCATGACTTAAACTTACCAGGATATCCCTTGAACTTCAAGGCTGCTAGTCTTTCAAAGAGGGGAAGAACATTGTCTTCCTAGCCTACATCATAAATGTGTTTATTTATATGTAAATTCTATCCTTGTTCCTTCCTTTGCAAGAAAATGATCAGTGACCCTGTTGTGACAGAAGAGTTGCCAAACTCAACGCTTGTCGTTTTTAACAAAGAAAAGTCGCTGGGGATCAGTAAAGTCTCCGCATCAGCTCAGAATAAAGGAGTGGAAAACTAGGAAAATGCTCCTGTGGATACTTCTACTTTAAAATTGCTGATGGGCAAAACCCACAGGATCCGGAACGGCTCTGCTCCGCTCCAGTATGGCAGACGGATCAATTATGCAAGCATTTTAATCAATGTGTGTCATTCCACAGATTCTGTCCGCCATTCGGCTCCGCTGCGAATCAGCTCCAGCGGCTGGATCAGATACGCAAGGCTTCTATTTTGGCTGGACGCCGCAGCACGGCGCATCACTTAAGTGCAGTGCAGCACAAGCAGCAGTGGAAGTTGTATGTGACTACAGAGTAAAATATCCAGTCAATTTTCAAATTAAAGGAAAGTCAATACATTGAACTGAGAGACCAGGGTTGTGGGTTTGGGTGTTTATATACACTGCCGTTTATAAACACTGATCGGATCTCATTCAATGTCAGGGGGAAACCCGCAAGATCTCTAGACCTGTCCAGTCTCGCAAGAACTATCTGTAATGTCGCAATAGCTTATCCTCCGATGGGGGTGGTGGATCGGAGCAGGTGGGTGCCATGATTGTGTATTTGATCCGCCTGCCAGTCCGGAGTGGAGCGGAGCCGTTTCGGATCCATTGGAATTCCTTGTTGCTACGCCCATTTCGCTGTCAATCAAAAGGGGATTCCGCTTCAGACAGATCATCCAATAATCATGCAGAAAACCAAGCATCTGGGCCAGTTCACTGCCCCATAGACCCCCAGAAACGCTTAGAGCCCATGGGCGGGACAAAGCTCAGCATTTATACAATGACTGTCTAGTTTTGCTGTTATCTGTCTTTAATTTGTGTGTGAAATCCTTTGTCTGTAACTGAGAGAAAATGCTTTCTATATTAAATGTTGACTCGTGATGGAAACATAGTTGCCAAGTCAGTGTATAATAAGCGAATTTGGGCTTGTTTTTCTCAGAAGTCGCTTGTAAAACTTGAAAGTCGCAGCTAGCGTTTTTTTTGGGGGGGCTTGTTTTTTTAAGTAAGAGTTGTTTATTTGGGCTTGCTTTTCCTCTAAGTGTGAATCCCCCCGATTATCTCACAGCTCCCCACAAAAGCAAAGCAAAACCCAGGTGTGGTAGGTAGTTTGTCTTTTCCAGACCCCTGTTTCCTGAATTGTGCCCGCTAGAGTACTCAGCACACAACCTAACACACAGAAATCAGCGAGGAGACAGAGTAAGAGTGAGTGGCAGTAAGTGGGCAAAATATGAATTTTTTTAAAAACCTAAATCCTTTTCTTTTAAGTTTTTATTGAACTGTGTGTATTATAATTTTGCCATTGATTATGCATAATGTGATAATAAATGTACAGGGTTTCCCTTACATATTATTCACTGGGGCGCATAACAAATTAAAGGTTGCCACACTTATTTATTTCTTTTACATGGCGCTACCTGAGACTCAGGATGTATCAGCATATGCAGCACACATGGTTGCTGCACCGCAGTGTGTGCGCCAAGTATATAGCAATACTCTGCAAACACTCAGCAGATTTATAGTGTAGACATGCTTCCTTGAATTGACATATGTTTGACTGTCAAATGAATGTGTTCTGTCAGTTAAATTCATTCAAAAATTCCTATTTCCATGAATCCCATTATAAGTTTCAAGCATTTTGTCTTCCTCACTAAAGGACCCTTGTGATAAGAATGTTAAGTCAGGGTCATCCTTGACCTTTTTTCTGCTACAAGTGACTGAATGTTCTCCTCCTCTACTATAAAAATGAGCCACATTTACACCTCTGTGAAAGTACCAGTAAGCTCAGTCTCTGTAGTGTGTTTTGTACCTTGGGCATGCGGGTCATTCCTCCAACCAGCAGCACCTCTCCAATGTCCCCCTTCGACACCTCAGCATCCTGCATGGCCTTCTGACAGGGAGCCACAGTGCGGCGGATCAGGTCAGCCACGATGCCTTCAAACTGAGAGCGGGTCAGCTTTATGTTGAGATGTTTGGGACCTGAGGAGTCCATGGTCAAGTAGGGCAGGTTGATGTCAGTCTGAAAGAGAAAACAAACATAATTTAGTCATTTTTTGATTCACTCACTTCATATCACCAGGCAAGAGCCCATAAACTCCTTATGATGACAGCAAATACTCCCGATAAATAGTTTTGTTTCATTTAAATAATGTGCAGCCCTACAAGTCTTTTAACCTTACATGTGCATCCATGATAGGCAAAAGACAAAAAAACTAAATATGCACAAATAAGGGTACATCACCAATCAAAACTAGAAAATGCAGTTTCTGAAGAATTGCGAGTGGGATTGCGCCAGTTAAAAATACTATTGCTGAGCTGCTATTGCAAATGGCTGAATTTGAAAATATGTGAAAAAATTAAAATGATCACAATCTGGAGGTATGAAAGTTTGAAGATTCAGAAAGGTTGAAATCAGTTTAAATTAGTTTGAAGAATTAAATAATGCGTAATCAATGAGTGATTGAAAAATGGGGAAAATTTATATTAATAAAAATCCTGATTAGACCCCATATTGTCCTCAATGAGCTGATTTTTTTTAGCCCTGCATGGTTTCTGTAGCCAAAGTTTGTCAAATAACTCTAGTGAAGGGTTTTATTGTAACACCCAGTACTCTGTGTACTGAGCCTGGCTTGTGTCTCCTACACCTGTTAGACGCAGCTTTCCAGTCAGCTGTGTGTCTCCAGGTGCTCTAGTTGGTAGCCATGGTGAGGGTAGATGCATCACAACAGCAGGAGAAAGGAGAATTGAGGCTGAGAAAGAAATGCTCAAAGTACGCCCTAATGCTCATCCTGTGTAACTGCTATTTAAATGATAATGAGCTTGTGAGAACCACAAGACCCAGCTGAACATGTTGACATAATTTATGTGTCTGTGGAACCAAAAATGTGTTCACTAGGACAAGTTAAAAACATGTCCAGTTTGTGTTTCCTCTAAATATCCACCTCTCAGATTTATACTGGAGTAAATGGAGAAAGGTGGGGATATTTTAGGGGTGTCTGTGGCAGTTGGAGTCTGCCCTAGCCACTGTGTGTGCCCTACGGCTTTGAAGACAAAATTTTGAGGATTCATTTTCTGCCCCTCTCACTCTAGCCGTGAGGTCACCCACTCTAGCTGCCAACATTCCATGCAATACACACTAATGTTAAAACCTGAAGAGGTCAGAAAATCCTGTGCCTTTTTAAACTGTCACTGTGAGAAAAGTATGAATGCCATGAAGATGATAAATGAATGAGTGAATGTCTGAAGGTGAGTGAATGTTTTGAAGTTTGAATGAAGTTTCAATGTGGAAGTATGGGTGAGCTGAAGGCTTTTGAAGTTGTGTAAAGAAAATGTGAGGAAAGGGCCAATTTGAACATTCCGTAACGCATTTCTAATGGGAGAATAACTCGGAAATTATGAATGTTGGGAAAAATCGGGATACACCGCTGAATTTCCTCGATGAGATGAATATTTTGAAGTTTGAATATTTTGAAGTATGTGGAAGTAGTTAAGGCATAAAAAACGGTGGAAGTCGCTTTAATAGTAATAACTAGAAAATGCAATTTCTGAAGAAATTGTGAGTGGGATTGCTCTGTTTGAAATTGCTATCGCTTAACTGCTATTGAATTTTGAAAGTCTATGAAAGATAAGAATGTTTGAATTTTGAGGAAGCTTTGAATTTTTTTAAATGATTTGGATGAATTCATTGAATAGTGCATAAATTGTTTAAAAAAATCAGTGTGTGGAAAATTAAAATGATTAAAAATCCTTCAGTTTGAAAATGTTTGAAGTACTAGAAAGGTTTATATCAGCTTGAATGAGTTGAAATTTGTTTGAAGAATAAAATGATGTATAAATCGTTAAATGATTTAAAACAGGGAAATTAAAATGATTAAAAATCTTAAAGTATTAGAAGTGTCAGAAAGGTTTAAATCAGTTTAAATAATTTCTTTAAAGAATTAAATAATGCATAAAAATTAAAATTGAAACTAGTGTGGAAAAAAAATTTAAATAAAAAATAATCCTGAATGCATCCCATAATGTCTTCAATGAACTGAATTTATTTAGCCCTGGACGGTTTCTGTAGCTCAGAGTTTGTAGAAAGAGATAGATGATAAAGTTTGTATAGTGAAGGGTTATAAACATAGACTGTATATAAAATGGACAGTCTGCCACCTCGCTGAGTGAAGCCACTCCGAGAACAGCACCCTTTGTTGATGGGTTGCAGTATAGGTCATAAATCCCGCACTGCCAGCAAAGCTTATGGAGCTGTGGACAAACTTAAGAAATTTATTACACAGAACATAATTTTTTCTCCCGCCTGCTTGTGATGTTGACATGTAGTTATTGTAAGACTGGTTTGTGCTCAAGTCCTCTTTTTACTGTGAAGCTCCGTTTTTAAAAGTTATTAGGGGGTTCATGTTTTCTATGATTGACAACTGATACAGCCTATGGGCGTTCAGGGATTGCGGGGCTCTCCCGGGGGATACACTGTTTGAGCCGAGCGTCATCACAGCGACTCTCTGCGACTGCGCAGCCGAATGCACTCATTGCTACTGCGCAGCGCTGGTTTCAGGAAATGAAGAAAAATCCCGGAAATACCGAGAGCTATTTGGCTTCAAATCTGTATACAGGCGGTAGGCAGAGTCGGCATTATGAGACAAAACACGCAGAGAAATACAGACACTTGGCGGAGGCTGAGAGAGCGCAAATTTCGGAAGACTTGCTAGCAAAGCTAGCAAAACAACAAGGCTATTTTACCAAGCTACATACAGCCCGGGATGCAGCGACCAAGACCAGCTTTGTAATATCCCACAAAATCACTAAAAACTGCAAGCCATTCTTAACTGGTGAGTTTGTGAAGGAGTGCTTGGTGGACTCTGCCACGCTAATATGCCCTGAGAATAAAGAAACGTTTGAAAAAGTCCCGCTGTCCATGCGAACCATCACCAGAATGGTAGAAGGCATCGCAGGGGTTCTCAAACTTCAGCTAAAAAGTGGAGTTGAAGTTTTGACTTTTTCTCTTTGGCTTTGGATGAGAGCTGTGATGTCCGTGACACTGCCCAGTTACTGGTATTTCTCCGAGGAATAAGGCAGGACTTCAAGATTACGGAGGAGCAGGCAGCATTGAGGTTAATAAAAGGAACGACAACGGGGAGTGATCTGTTCAAGGAGGTAGATGCATGCATGGTCAAGCTTGGACTAAAATGGGATAAACTGGTAGGTGTCACTACTGATGGTTGTCCGAATTTGACGGGGGAAAATGTCTGACTTTTGAAACAGATCCAAGATAAAGTAAAAATAGATTTTTTTTAAGTGACTGAACTTGGCTCAGAGCATAAGTTGGTGTTGATACATTGTATTATACATCAGCATGCGTTGTGCAGGTCTGTGCTAAAACTTAACCATGTTATCAATGTTGTAACCAAAACTTTATCAGGGCACGAGCATTAAATCACAGGCAGTTTGTTGCACTTTTAGAGGAGCATGAGAATGAACATGGGACATCAGGTACCACACAGCTGTCAGATGGCTCAGTCTGGGCAAAGTGCTAAGAAGATTTTGGGAGTTGAAAACAAAGATTCAAAAGTTTTGTAAAAACATTGAGGATGAAATGCACCTGGTTTCATCTCCCTTTACCTGCAGAGTAGATAATGCACCCAGTGACGTTCAGCTAGAGCTCATTGACCTGCAGTCTGACACAGTACTGGCAGAGTACTCTAAGTCAGCATCACTGCTGGAGTTCTACTCATCTCTCAAGGAGGAGAACTTTCCAAACATGAGGAGACATGCTCAGAAGATGTTGGTTCTGTTTGGATCTACCTTCATATGTGAACAAACATTCTCAGTAATTAAGTTTACCAAATCCAGGTTCAGATCCTCTCTTACTGATGATCATCTGTCAGCTGTACTTTCCATCTCCACCTCAGACATTCAGCCTGACTTTGATGCACTTGTTAAAGCCCAGCAAAGGCTAGATTTCTCTCACTGAACAAGAAAAGAATACTGAAATGTGTTCATTTTTACTTTTTGCCTGCACAGTTTTACAATCTGTGAAAAGAAAAAATGTGACATATCTTGTTAATGATATTTGGCATTGTGCTGTTTTAATAGAAAGAAGTGTTTTATCTTGTTAATGATACTTGGCATTGTGGTGTTTTACTAGAAAGAAGTGTTTTAAGGTTAATGTAATTTAAAAGAGAGTTACAAATGTTTCATGTGTACCATTGTTGCACTGCACTGAGGAAAATAATAAATAAAACCCTTATTTTCTCATTACCTAATAATACAGACACTTACCAGCTAGTGCAAACAATGCCATTTACTGCTTTCAATTTATAATTAAAATGTATATGCAGAATACAGTTTAAACTTTTGGCCCGGCCCTCCACAATATTTTCTGCTTCTCATTTGGCCCCTTGGGAAAAATAATTGCCCATCCCTGGTGTAGAGTGAAGTGACTTGCCACAATCCTTTTGTAAAGAAAAGTTTTGATGATAAATTTTCAGCCTGTCTCACTCTAGCGATGATGTCAAGCACTCTAGCTGCCAACATTCCATGCAATACACACTAATGTTAAAACCTGAAGAGGTCAGAAAATCCTGTGACTTTTTGAACTGTCACTGTGAGAAAAGTATGAATGCCATGAAGATGGTAAAAGAATGAGTGAATGTCTGAAGGTGAGTGAATGTTTTAAAGCAGATTGGTATCAGTATACATAGCAGCAGTGCTCGCGAGCGCCGAGTAGTAGCAATTAGCGAGCAATCAGCGATCACACAGCTGATTAATCAGCGAGTTATAGGACAAATAAAAGCACAAAACTGATGCTTCAGCTCCGAGCTCACTGCTTAAAGTGAATGAATTAGATATGGGATGCAGGGCGTATGATGCAGCGTCCACGAAGGGGGTTGCTGCACCCGCAGTGGGTCATTTGATTGACAGGTCACTGCATGTCTCCATGAATGAAAGCAGCGCGATCTTGGAAATGTTAACGAGGAAGCCAGGAAGAACACATGCATTGATTAAGAAGAGCTGCTCATAGATCATGCTTAAGTTGATTTTAAATCGACCCCATTAGGTGGAGCTTGTTTGCCGCCCATGCTTCCACTGTTACCTGAAGTAGCCATTGCCTATTTCATCATGCTACGCGTTGACGAATTTTTGTAGTTGTTTACGTAGACGAATCGCCCCAGCCCTATTTGAGTCACAAAAAGTATTTAAAAATGTAAAAAAAAATATTTTATGAACACTAATCTACATGTCCAAGCAAGGCTGAGTGGGGCATTAAATTACAAGGAGCCGAGGGTTAAAGAAACCTCAAAAATCTGAATCTGAGATTTGCTATCAAACATTGGTGCAAAAATAATGCCGCATTTGAATCTAGAAAGTCTCAACATTAGATTTTTTCCTCAGGGGTTATTATGTCCATAAAATAGTTGTAGATATAAAAAAGGGACGTTGTAAATAAAAAACAAATCAATCAAATTTAGGAAATGCAGGACATGGCTGAACAACACATTACCTCATTAACTTGACTTATACGTGCAATTACCTTATATGTTGTTATCCGTGTCTGATTAAGTTCAATTTGATGATTTCTCCACATAACCAGTCCTGTGACTTGATAGTCTTGTGTCTTGTGTTTAGGCTGCTTTATTTCCTAAAAACTAAAACTAAACTAAAATCTTATTTAGAAGTATGAAGTACAAATTTTCAAATGATTCATATCCTTAGGTGGTACCAGCTTAAATGTTGTTTGGGGGTTTAAAACAGATCTTGGAAAACCAGATTTTGAAAATGTTTAATTAGATCTCAAAGGGCTGCTACAGGTCACTGCTACAGGTCACCTTTTTCGACCTACAGGTCGAAAAAGTTGATTCTTATCTTTTTTCCTTTTTTTAAAGACAATTACTGTGAATACAGGTGTATCTACACAGCCCCAGTGTCAGTGCAGTGGTCATGTTTCTTTTAGATTTTAAGAAAGGTTGGTTAATGCTGACCTCTGAATTAATCTAAAACAGCTAATAATCCAAAACATCAAGTTAAAACATGTAAACTCTGGGAGAAACAGCAACTTTATGGTTATAAAAAATGGGGGCAAAATAAATAGATGGGTCTATAAATCAACTCCCCCCTCCCTCCATGAATATGTGCATAATACTGTATATCTGCTTAAACAGCCAGCAGTTTTGCTCTACAATTAGAAGAGTAGAAGTCATTCAGTGTTATTTATGAAGAATAAAATGTTTGTATGGCCTTGTACTAGGTCAATCTGCTGACAATACCACGACAGGCCACTCTCACCAGACAAAGTCCTGAAGCAACTCAACAGCAGTAGACTCTAAGACGAGACAACTGCAGTGATATGATACAGCACCTCCTCTTCACTGTAACCCCCAATTTCCAACTCATCCGGAATGGCTACTAAAAAAGGCCGTATCCACCAATTGCAGCTGATTGAAACCATTCAAGTTATTGTGTCAATTTCCATTGGTTTGCCAGACTCCACAGCTAATCGCAAGAGTTCTATTTTTTCCGGATGCCGGAGCATGCCGGATAAATTCAGCACAGATTAATCCGTGCTGGAAAGGAAGTGGGGCACAGACACGAAATAAACCATCTGGCCTCTTTTCAAAATAAAACACTTTGCGTTTCAGGCAGATCTTTCACACCATGCAAATGGGCAGGGACGAACTTTGTGGCTGTCTTTATAGAGACAACTTGTTACGCGGTTGCACGTGAATCCTTGGGTTCTTGTGAGTTCTCACTATTCCTGCTGTCCGCCACAGAATTAGCCTCACAAACGGACCCGGTAGGAATTGGCGGATGGCGAAAATTGCCGCTGTTCCAGGTCGGAGCTGCTCTGGATGTGGTGGTAACACTGAGCCAGACACACACTGTCCAAACAGCTGACTGAAAGCTGAATTCAGGCTACAACCTGTTTTTTTGACAGCAGTACACTGAAATGGGTTTTGATCTCACACCTGAGAGGATAAGGAGTTGTGTGTACCTGCAGTGAAGAGGAGAGTTCACATTTTGCCTTCTCTGCAGCCTCTCGTACTCTCTGCAGAGCCATGTTGTCCTTGGTCAGATCCACACCAGACTGAAAAGAGAACATGTAATGCTCATGAAATGAAGACATTGCAAGATGAGCTACAGGTGAGAGAATCCTTTTCAGATTTAGCAGTTCACCTCTCTCTTGAACTCCTTCACAATGTGTTTTAGGAGATGCTGATCAAAGTCCTCTCCTCCCAGGAAGGTGTCTCCATTAGTGGACTTGACCTCAAACACTCCTTTCTGGATCTCCAGGACTGAGATATCAAATGTACCTCCACCCAGATCATACACAGCGATACTGACGACAAACACAAGCTAGTGTCAGAGTTTTTCCGTGCAGAGCTGTTTACATATTTGTTATTGTTAAATCTCACTTCACTCACATCTTATCTTGGGTTTTGTCAAGGCCGTAAGCCAGGGCAGCAGCCGTTGGCTCATTAATCACACGCAGGACGTTCAGACCAGAGATCTGTCCAGCATCTTTGGTAGCCTGAATTCAAAGAAATAAATTAGACAAGTCTGACTGCTTGAAGGTGCCAGGACCATAAAATTGACCACATGATGACCAATATTTAAAAACACTTCCTTCATGAAAACCTTACTCATATCCTACACTGGTAAGATTTAGAGATTGGTCCTGCATGATCTGCTAAAACTATGTCATGACCAGGTTTGTTTCAGTCTGTTTTAGGCCTTGCTTGGATGAGAACAGACCAAGCAAAAGCAAACAAGCCCTTTTTGTGTGATTTAAAACCATACCTTCAATTATCAGTGTAATGAAAAGACTCCACATGTACACAAAACCACAAAACAGATACTGAAAACACTTTGGTATATATACCAGGCCAGATAGGCTGTCAAAAGCCCTCTAAAAACACATAGGCTTCACCTGTTCACTCTTTAAGACCGTGTGACCATATTTTTTATGGCGCTAAATGCAGCAAAGGTTTACAGTTTTTGGATAAATGCATTTCAGTATTGAGGCCCCCTTTTCATGGATTGATTAACTCTTAACACTTTCAACTCTAGGAGGTAAAATTAGATTTACTTGTTTTATTTTATGTAAAATCACTTCAGCATATCAGGAACAGCATTTTAAGGTAGAGTTGAAGTGCGAAGTCCTGCTCAAGGCTGTGGTTGATTATGGAGATTTGACTACCCAGAACTGTTCTTTGAAAACTTTTGTGAATGTTTGATGGTAACATTTAAAAAAATTATCAAAAGCTTAAATATGGAAAATGGAAATGGAAACAGCTGTAGAGAGGCTCCGTGTGTGTGTGTACCTGTCTCTGTGAGTCGTTGAAGTAGGCAGGGACAGTGACCACAGCGTTTTTCACTTTGGTTCCCAGGTAGTTCTCTGTGACACAGACATTAAAATCATTTCTAAAACTGACAGGTAAATTTAAATAATATTAGTCAAAGTATTGTCAAGTGTGTATTAGGCTAAGAAACATGAGTAGTTGCAGTCTTGCCTGCAGTCTCCTTCATCTTCATCAGGACGAAGGCTCCAGCCTGGCTTGGGGAATACATTTTCCCATGAGCCTCCACCCAAGCATCACCGTTAGATGCTCGGACAATCTTGTAGGGGACATTATTCCTGTGAGCAACAACAACAACAAACAGGTTTAATTAAACAGTCTGCTATATCATTCTGTTCAGTCCTTTTGTATCAAACATGGAGCACTTACAGGTCTTTTTGGACTTCAGCATCGTCATAGCGACGTCCAATCAGCCTCTTGGTGGCATACAGGGTGTTTTGAGGATTAGTGACAGCCTGACGTTTGGCCGGCATGCCCACGAGGCGCTCCCCGTCAGCTGTGAAGGCAATGACTGAAGGTGTCGTCCTGGCTCCCTCGGCGTTCTCCAACACCTGAGAGAACAATAGACACCATGAGCCAGTTGATGGAGGACTGTCAGCGTGCGTATTTACCCACTGAAGACAGACTGAATTAAAACTCTCAATTTTATGAGTTAGTTTATATTGCAGCATGCTTTGTGCAGCCACAGTTACTTGCAAAATACCAAGAGCAGCAAATAATTTTTGACCTATATCAAATAAGTAAAATCAGTCTGTCTGCATTCTGTACCATATACCTGTTGCACCAGTGTACAGGAAAAAGCTGACATTTTTAGGTAAGTTATAAAAAGGAATTAAATCTGTTCTAAAATTCAAATGATGCGCTTGAAACGAGAGGTTGCTGCAAGTCTGGTCTCTCTGTGTTATCTGTAATTTTTGCTAGATTTTTTTCATATTTTTGTTGTAATTTTGTTGGCTGCTACTGGATACTTCAGCTGGGTGAAGAGTTTACTCAAGAGAAGAGCTCCTTTCATTGAGGAAAAGCAAATCTGGACAACAACATACAATTCCAGAGGACATCAGGAGGTGTTATCGAGGTTGACGTGCTGGTGCCAAGGTGAAGGCAAAGCTGAATGCTAGGAGGTGGCGATATAAACCCTTCTTCCATCAATCATTATGCGAAACGTCAGCTCTTTGCCCAACAAAGGCGATGAGCTGGAGATATTGGTGAAGACTGAGAAAGCATACCGCGAGTCCAGTCTCCTGCGTTTTACTGAAACCTGGTTGAATCAAAACAACTCTGACTCCAGTGTGGATCTACCTGGCTTCACTCTCATAAGGTCAGACAGAAATGCTCAAGCTAGTAGCAAGAAGAAAGGTGGGATTTGGCTTTATTTGTCAACAAGAGATGGTGTAACCCTTCACACATAACTGCCAAGGAGAAGTTCTGTTGTACAGATATTGAACTGTTGGCCATTGCTCTGTGGCCATATTATGTTCCAAGAGAATTTAGTCTCATCATAACAATATTTGTTTACATTCCACCCAAATCAACTGAAGAAATTCCCTGCAATGTTTTGCAAAATAATGTAGCCAGGCTACACACTCAACACCCTGAGGAACTAATAATAATGTCAGGAGACTTCAACCATGTCATCCTCTCCTCTCACCTGACTGGATTCACATAGTTTGTGAACTGTCCTACCAGAGACAACAATGTTTTAAATCAAATAAATCAATAGACTGGAATGTGCGGCTGGAAACAGATGTGAATAATATGAACATTGACGAACAGGTTGACCGCTTTACTGAATATATAAAATTCTGTAGAGACACTGTTATACTGACAAAGACTGATCGCTGTTTCCCCAACAACAAACCCTGGATCACAAATGACATAAAAGCAATCCTTACCCAGAATAAGAAAGCTTTTAAAGATGGTGACAAAGAACAACTCAAACAAGTGCAACAAGAGTTGAAGAAGAGACTGAAGATAGCAAAACTGGAGTACAAAAAGACGATAGAGAAGAATCTACAACACAGCAACATCTGTGAAGTGTGGAGAAGAATCAGTACCATCTCTGGGCACAGCAATAAAAAGAATAGACAGCCAGTGGTGGGTGATCTGGGAAGAGCTGATGAACTCAACTAGGGCTGCAACTAACGATTATTTTGATAATCGATTAATCTGCCGACTATTTTAATAGCTAATCGATTAATCGGATAAACAGGCTAAATTCATCAATGCAGCTGTTAATAGCAATAGCATAGGGCTTTAGTTTATCATACGAGTTTATCTGCCATGAGGTGTTGAGGTCTCTGCATGTGTAGGTTACCGACTCACTGTAATCAACGGGTCTTTCTCGTCCTTACAAAAACCTGCTCTATTTCGGCGAGTGTCTGTCTTCTTCTGTGGTCAAACCGCAAGATATCAAAATCTACCCGGATACAGCAATGCTGCTTTTTGATTGGCTGTTCAGTAGATATACTTTATTTGATTGGCTTGCGCGTGGCACGCAGCTCCTGAACTCTCGGAGAAACTCAGCTGATTTCCACCTGTTCCATAGTTAAAGAAGTGCAACTTGGTGGACATCACCATGTTCATTTAAATGCGTGAGAAATACAATGTGTGGTGTGTGAGCATGTGAACGAGTGGGAATGCTGTGTCATACGCTGAATGCGTGAGACTTGAGAGCCCTGTGCTCACGCATCATCGATGTACTCCCGTGCCATGCAAAACGGGCTTTGAAAATGTTGCACTGAACGCCTTCCTTTTCATTTTTGGTAAAGTTTTCCCTCACCACTGATGTTTTAGGTCGGGATTTGGGTTGGGTTGTGTCCATGTTTTTCTCAGCCGCTGTCTCGGCCATGGCTGTTTCTTTTCTGTGCGTTCTGCTGATGTTTACACGCCGGTGTCCATGGACATATATAAAGACCCGACGAATCGATTACAGAATTAGTTGGCAACGAATTTTTTCGTCACGACGAATCGACTTAATCGATTCGTTGTTGCAGCCTTAAACTCAACCTGTTCAACAGATTTGACGCTGCTGTCACACCCACTTCCACTGCTACTCCACCTTCCTCTCCACAACATATCTCCACTACAACCTCTCCCATTCCTCCTCCATCACGTTCAAATGTCTCAACCACTTCAACTGCCTCCCTTCTAGAACACCAGTCCTTGTCTGTCACTGAAACAGGGTGAGGATGGAGCTTGGAAGACTTTGCCCTGGAAAGGCGGCTGGTCCAGAAGGTGTGTGTTAGGCCTGCACGATATATCGTTTGAGCATCGTCATCGCGATGTACGTGTGTGCGATAGTCACATCGCAGAGCCTGCGATGTCGGTGGTGAATGAACTCAGTTAATTTCAAGGGTAGCTGACTGAGATACACTGCATGTACTGTGCAGCGATCCACCAATCACCTTCGTCCTTTACTCAGTTGCCAATCAGAGTCAGTTCTCAGTTGCCAATCAGACTCAGTTCTCAGTTGCCAATCAGACTCAGTTCTCAGTTGCCAATCAGACTACCCTGCCAGCTGTCAATCAAAATCAGAGGAGGAAACCCACCCCTGCACATGTTCTGCACATGGAGATAGTCGCTGGCTGCTGGTGTTGAGCCGAGAAACGCTTGTCCACTGAAAATTACTTTCGGAACTTTACTCATGACTGTTAAGCCCAACAAATAAGAACTGTATGGGTTTTAAAATGTATATTTCCGTGGACCACTCCACTATAAGTGGTGCGTGTTTTACGAGGTGCATGCAATTCTCGGAGGACATGCGTTTCTCGGCACAACACCGCTAACAACAGCAACAACGATTGCAAAATGAGTAAGGAACAAGAAAAACCACAGAAAATGAAGATTTGTTGCCAAAGAGAAAAGGAAAGTCAGTTCTCTGGAATTATTTCCGTTAAAAGAAAGATAATGTCGACCAAAACACATGTTCTGTGTTCATCTGTCGCCACAATAACATCCCAGAACAATAAAAGCTAAAAATATCTCTGAGACAGACAGAAGCCATTCTACTAACATTCACAAAAAGAGGTAAGATCATTGCAGGGTAACTGTCCTCAAGACTTCAGCGGTGCAACATAACATTAAATGCTATTCAGGTCATCTGGTGAAAATTCCTGTATTTTTAATATCACAATATATATCGCAGGGTTGAAAAAAATCGCAATGTTAATTTTTTCCAATATCGTGCAGCCTTAGTGTGTGTCCAAGGCTTCCTAGAGACTGTGCTGCACAACTGTGTCAACCTCTCAACAGGATCTTCAACCTGAGTCTACAGCTGGGGCGGGTACCTACTCTGTGGAAAACATCCTTCATTGTGCCAGTATCAAAAAGAAAATGTCCTGCTGAACTCAATGACTACAGACCAGTGGCCCTCATTTCACACATCATGAAAACCTTGGAGGGGCTGATTCTACGCCCTCTGAGGTCTGAGGTCAAAGACAAACTGGATTCTCTGCACTTTGCATACAAAGAACACATTGGAGTGGATGATGCTGTCCTCTACATGCTTCACTGTGCCCTGTCTCATCTGGAAGAACCTGGGGTTTATGTTAGGATCATGTTCTTCAACTTTTCAAGTGCATTCAACACCATCCAACCCATCATACTCAAAAACAAGCTTACAGATATGGGAGTGGATCCTTCCTGTGTTTCCTGGATCACAGATTACCTGACAGGAAGGCCACAGTTTGTCAGGTTGGCAAACTGTGTCTCTGGGACATTAATGAGCAGTACAGGGGCTCCACAAGGGACAGTGCTGGTGCCATTCCTGTTCACACTGTATACATCAGACTTCAAATACAGCACTGAGTCCTGCCACATCCAGAAATACTCAGATGACACTGCGATTGTAGATTGTATCAGAAATGGACAAGAAGCTGAATCACAAAAGTCACAAAAACTGCCTCCTCCTCAACACCTCAAAGACAAAGGAGACTGTCAAAGACTTCCATCGATCCAAACCCCCTCTTCAGCCAGTGAACACCTGTGGAGTGGACATCGAAGTGGTGACATCATATAAATACCTAGGTGTACATCTGGATAATAAGTTGGATTGGTCTAAGAATATAAACTTCATCAAAAGGGGCAGAGCTGCCTCTTTTGCCTGAGAGGACTCCAATCAATAGACATCTGTAGTAAGATACTACAGATAATTTATCAGTCTGTGGTGGAAAGTGTTCTGGTACATGCTGCAGTCTGCTGGCGAGGAAGCATCAAACACAAAGATGCAAGACATCTGAACAAACTGGTGAAAAAGGCTGGCTCTTTGGTTGGACTCAAGCTGTACTCAGTGGAGGATGTGGTGAAGAGATCTACACTGAGGAAGATGGAGACTATTTTAAAGAACATGGATCACCCACTTCACAACACCTTGATGGACCAAAGGGCCAATGGTGGCAGACAGCTCCTCTCTCTTTGCTGCAGGACAGAAAGATTCAGAAGATCTTTTGTACCCACAGCCATCCTATCATTTACACAAGAGTTACAGAGACATATTATGTGAGACAACAGACAATTGAATTTCCCTTCAGGGATTAATAAAGTTCTTCTTATTCTTCTTACACACAGTAACTGTTACAATGCAAAATAAAAGCTGTGTGAAATGTCTGATAGAAATCAAAAGTCCAAATATGTTATTGCATCCTCTTAAAATATGTTATTAGTACATTTTATTAGACTTTAGGGAGCCTACAGGACATAAGAAAGCCAAACAACACCCACAAACAATCAAAAATAAAAACAAATCTTCTGAGACTTTTTAAAGGCAGAGTTTAGTGTTTACTTTCTGTGCCAGAAGCGTAAAAGACTTCCATATCTCTTAAGTCATCTCAAAATAACTAAAGGCCTAAACTAAAGCTCAGGAGGTCAAGCAGTCGTCCAACAACTGGAAGGTTGGTGGTTCGATTTCCCCCTATCCCTAGTCTGCCCATTGTGTCCTTAGGCAAGACACTTAACACACCTCGCTCCCAGTATGTGTCCTTCACTGGTGTATGTACGACTGTAAGTGATGTCTGGTGGTGGTCAGAGAGGCTGCCACATTTCCATCAGTCTGTCCCCGGGCAGCTGTGACTATCTAGGTAGTTTACCACTACCAGGGTGTGACTGTGTGAGCGAATGAATGATGTAGCACATCACATGGGGCGTGTGAGACCTTTGACCAGGCTCTTAAAACACTTGCTGGCTATGGGAGTGAGGGCTATGGGGCGCCAGTCTTTTAGGCTGATCACCTTCTGCTGCTTGGGAATAGGGATGATGGTGCTGGTTTTGAAACAGGTGGGGACAGAGCTGAGGGAGAGAGACTAGTTTAAAATGTCAGTGAATACTCCCACCAGCTGGTAAGCACAAGCCTTTAAAACCTGTCCAGGAATGCCATCTGAGCCAGCCGCTTTCCTGGTGTTGATCCGCTTGAAGGAGCGGTAGACCTCGCCCCTTTGGATGGTGAGCGGGTGGTCATCATCAGCACCAGAGATGGAGAGTGGGTTTAGGGATGTTCCAGGAGTGAGGGTCAGCTGCTCCCCCCTCCCCATGTCAATAGGGGGGATAGCAGAGGTTGGTGCTCGCCGGTGGAGGGGGAGGGACCAGCCATGCCAGGGGTTCTAGCAGAGGGGTCAAATCAGGCATAGAAGGAGTTGAAGTCATCTGGAAAGGTGTGCATTGGGTTTGCTGTGTACGGCTTGAAGCTGCTGCCAAAGGTGCATCGGGTTGTTTGTGTTGAGTCTTGACTCCATGCGTTGACAATAGTTCTTCTTTGCCTTTTTTATTGCCGCTCTGAGTGCATAGCGTGTGCTGTTATGGTCCTCCGCTGTGTCTGATTTATAGGCTATGTTTCGTGTATGGAGAGCAGCATGCACTTTGTTGTTGATCCATGGCTTCTGGTTTGGCGTCACCTTTATATTCCTGACTGGAACAGCAGCCTCTGTGCGCTCCCTGATGTAGGTTGTTACATTGTCGGTGCAGTCGTCCAGATTCCCAGTCAACTTGAATGACTTCCAGTCCCTGGGGGCAAACCAGTCCTGTATGATCGCCTCTGATTGATCAGACCGGCGTGGAACAGCCCTGTAAACAGGGGGCTCTCTCTTCAGTCTCTGTCTATAGGAAGGGAGTAGGGGGATTGAGCAGTGGTCTGATTTGCCAAAAGCTGGGCGGGGGAGGGCTCTGTAACTTTCCCGGAAGATAGCTGGGCAGATAACTGTAATAATCGTTCACTTGTGGATAAGAGCACCAAAATTGGCACACATACTCCTTAGAAGTTGCTCTTTTGATATTTCTGTCTGGCCAAATGAAATTCAAGATGGCGGCCATTTTTCAAGATGGCCACCAATGAAAATACAGTAATATTGCATTTTGCAATGAAATTCCATAGACCTGTCCTATTTGGATGAACTTGGTGTCATATCATAAATTTTCCACCATGCGGAATCCAAATTTGGACCCATGGACTTACTTGCTGGCTTTCTTGTACCAAATTTCAGTCCCGGAATCCTAATATTCTGATCCTAATTAGGTCTACATCATATGAGACTCGAGAAAATGGTTGGCAACCTATACCCAGAATCCTAATATTCTGATAAATTTGAATTTCATCTAAAATGGATGGTAACACCATGGGCTCACTCTTTGTCTGGTCTCTATCCTTTGAGCTGTTTGGCGTGGGTGACCCTTCCAGGAGTACAATACTCCAGCCGGCATAGCTCTAGGGGTCGTGGAGGCACACAAACTGCCCCACCACGATAAGGTGGTGATCCCGCGGTTCGTACGGCCTCTGCTTCCGAGCAAACATGTCCAACCTTGCATTGTCGACACCTTCAGCTGTGCTTGATCTGTCGTACAACATGACCACAAACTTCTCCAGGGTTTTCAGGTCTTCATCATCCAATATAGGTGGGTAATGGCTGAGTTTGCTGAAGACACTGGAAGCCTAATTACAAACATTCCAGGTTTGCCAAGCAGTCTTCTTCCCTTTGCCACGGAATGCTGAGACAACATCGCAACCAGTGAATGCATGGAAGAAGAGCATTTGCTCTTCTCTGCAAGAGTGCCACACAGGTCATGAACAGGAATCCATTTCAGGTTCTGTCTTTGGCCAAAGGCAACCCACAACTGCTGCAGACCCAGGTTCTGAAGTGCCTGCAGAACACTCACTGCGATGACAACAACATCTGTGTCGTTGGCTTTGACCATGATGACAATGCTGCCTGCTTCTGTGGCATGTCTGGCATGCACAAAGATCGGGGTGTCAGCTTCTTCATGACTGCATGGTGCCACCCCAGCCAGATTAATCGTACTGTTGCTGATAACATCATCTTCCTTGGTCACAATGACCACATTTGGTGAGGCCACACATTCTATCTGATCAGCCAGAAAGCTGAACAGCTCCCTCTCTCTCTCTCTCTCACTCACTCACTAAACCTCTTACAACACTAAGATATAGGTTACCAACCATTTTTCCCAAGTCGGACATAATGTAAACCTCATAAATACCAGAATATTAGGATTCCGGGACTGAAATATGGTACAAGGAAGCCAGTAAGTAAGTCCATGGGTCCAAATTTGGATTCTGCATAGTGGAAAATGTATGATTTGACACCAAGATCATCCAAATGGGACAGGTCTATGGGATTTTGTTGCAAAATGCAATATTAGTGTATTTTCAATGTGGCCATCTTGAAAAATGGCTGCCATCTTAAATTTTCATTCGGCCAGACGGAAATATCAAAAGAGCAACTCCCAAGGAGTATGTGTGCCAATTTTGGTGCTTTTATCCGCAAGTGAACGATTCTCCTGTAATATGCTATTATCCGCCCCACTAAGAGGGTGTGACAGTGGTCCAGTGTGTTATTTCCTCGCATCTTAAAAGTGATATGTTGGTGTAATTGGGGTATTAGTTTAGTGTAGTTTGCATGGTTAAAATCCCCGGCTATGACCAGCGCCGTGTACGGCTGTGCTGTCTCTCGCTTGCTGATCAAGCAGTGGAGTTCCTTGAGCGCTGCCTCCTTGTTTGCCTGTGGTGGAATGTAAACAGCGGCTATCGTGACAGATGTAAATTCATGGGGGAGCCATACAGGATGACACTGCAGCAGGAGACACTCCAGATTTGGGGAACACACTGTGTCAACAGTTGAGATGTTACGCTCATGACACCAGGCCCGGTTCACTATGAGACACACACCTCCACCTGCTTTCTTCCCCGAGAGCTCTGTGCCCCGATTCGCGCGGTAGACAGAAAAGCCCATGGGCGCGATGGCATGGCTCGGTGTGACGGCGGAGAGCCGTGGTCAGTCAGACATGCTGCTCTGATTGAAGCGTTTGTTTGCTGTAGGCAATCCGTTCGGTGCCAGGTGAGCAGCCAGTTTTAGTGCCATTAGTGCCGTTTGTAGGTGCAATCCTACTGCCGATCTGGATACAAAATCCAATCCTAAAACTGGTAACTAAAAAAACTCGTAACTAAATCAACTAAAAACTAAGCTAAACTGTTAAAACTGTCTGCTACTTAAACCTAAGAGCACAGACTGACAGCACAGCCTGGCTAGCTAGCTAGTTTGCTGAGCTCCAGCACGTCGCCCTCCTCACGGTGCCGTTCTAGGTAACATTACATTTCAAGGGAAGCTGACTGAGATACACTGCATGTGACTCTTCATGTGCTGAGCAGCAATCCACCAATCACATTGGTTCTTTACTCAGTAGCCAATTAGACTACCCTGCCAATCAAAATCAGAGCGGTGGAAACCACCCCCTGCACATGGCCTTCACAAGGAGTGAGTTGCTGGCACTGCCATGTTGTGCCGAAAACGTGTGTCCACTGAGAATTACTTTCGGAACATTACTTATCACTGTTTAGCCCCACAAATTAGAATTGTATGGGTTTTAAATTGTACAATTCCGTGGACCACTCTACTATGAGCAGTGAGCGTTTTGCGAGGTGCATGCAATCGTTTCTGGTCATAACACTGCTGAAATCCAGAAGATTTCAGCAGTGCAGCATAGCATAAAGTGCCATTTAGGTCATCTGGCAAGGCTGCACGATATTGGAAAAAACTAATATTGCAATTTTTTTCAACCCTGCGATATATACTGCGATATTAAAAAATACAGGAATTTTCAACAGATGACCTGAATAGCATTTAATGTTATGCTGCACCACTGAAGTCTTGAGGACAGTTACCCTGCACTGATCTTACCTCTTTTTGTGAATGTTACTAGAACGGCTTCTGTCTGTCTCAGGGATATTTTTAGCTTTTATTGTGCTGGGATGTTATTGTGGCGACAGATGATCACAGAACACGTGTTTTGGTCGACATCATCCTTCTTTTAACCGAAATAATTCCAGAGAACTGACTTTCCTTTCCTTTTTTGGCAAAAAATCTTCATTTTCAGTGGTTTTCTCTTGTTTCTTGCTCATTTTGCAATCGTTGTTGTTGTTGTTGGTGGTGTTGTGCCGAGAAACGCATGTCCTCCGAGAATTGCACGCATCTTGCAAAACGCGCACCGCTTATAGTAGAGTGGTCCACGGAAATATACATTTTAAAACCCATGCAATTCTTATTTATTGGGCTTAACAGTCATGAGTAAAGTTCCGAAAGTAATTTTCAGTGGACAGGCGTTTCTCGGCTCAACACCAGCAGCCAGTGACTCACTCCATGTGCAGAACATGTGCAGGGGTGTGGTTTCCTCCACTCTGATTTTGATTGACAGCTGGCAGGGTAGTCTGATTGGCAACTGAGAACTGAGTCTGATTGGCAACTGAGAAAAGGATGAAGGTGATTGGTGGATCGCTGCACAGCACATGCAGTGCATCTCAGTCAGCTACCCTTGAAATTAACTGAGTTCATTCAACGCCGACAACACAGGCTCTGCGATGTGACTATCGCACACACGTACATCGCGATGACGATGCTTAAACGATATATCATGCAGGCCTATCATCTGGTGAAAATTCCTGCATTTTCAATATCGCATTATATATCGCAGGGAAAAAAACTGCAATGTTAGTTTTTTCCAATGTTGTTCGCCTTAATATATCCAATGTAAAGTGCTTTGACAATCACTGATAAAGCGCTATATAAAATCGGATGCATTATTATTTCTATGGCTTGAAAATTATGTCTCTTTGTGTGTTTGCACAAGTACTAATCAGTTAAATGGCAACATGTGAAGGCCAGTGCTTGTCTCACTCAGGTCAGTGTTTGCAGAGTCCTCTCATGTATGGTCTCATCCCATTTAGATAGAAGCTAATTATCGGGGCAGGAGATGTTATTTACACAGTCAGCAATTTCAAGATACCCAAGGGACACATTATCTTGAACCCTTGAGTTGCAATTCCTACTCAGAAATCAAAGAGGTCTGCCCCATTCATCAACAATAACAAAGTTCTACTCTTGTGTTTACTGACAACTTGCTCTTATTTTGTGTAATTACTTCAATAGTTTGGTTATGAGTTCTGTATATGAACATGATGTCATGTTGCTTCTGTCCACAAAACACATAGTCATTAATAACATATAACTAGAGCTGACTACGATGAGGCCTGCTGACTGTAGTCACATTTAATTTATTTAACATTGTCCATAATCACTCATACCCTAACCCTGTAAACTGAACTCATTTTGTTTCACCATTACATGAGCTGTTGTTGTTGGTGTTGTTTCTGCTGTCACCTATCTCTCTCTCACCCTCATTCTCGACTCTTTCTCCCTCCCCCTCCCTCTCCTTACTCATTCTCTCTCTCCTTCCCCTTATCTTGTTCTCTTTCTCTCTCCCTGCCCTCTCCCCTCTTCTCTCTCCCTCCATCTCTCTACATTCCTCCCCAACCCAGCAGCGGCATGGTGGCTGTCTGGCATGAGTCGGGTCCTGCCCAAGGTTTCTGACTGTTAAAAGGACGCTTTTCCTTGCCACTGCTACTCGTGTTAGTTGAGATGGGCCAAAACCCATCTTAGGTTGGTTCTTGTTCATCAAACAATGAGCGTGGTCTAGACCTGCTCTTGTTCTTTGAAAAGCATCTTGAGATGACAACTGTTGTGAATTGGCGCTATATAAATAAAATTTGATTTGATTTGACATAGTTAGTCATTATTAATTAATATCACATGTATATAATCAACATGTACATAACAGCTGTAAATAACACTCATGTATGTATCTTTTTATATTTTTTAACACCTAAATTTCTTGTTTCTTTAATCTCTCTGTTGTATTTATTACTGCTGTAAATCTGGAATTTCCCCTTGTGAGACTCATAAAGAAATATCTTATCTTATTAGCTTGTATAAACAGAAAATGCCACCAGAAGGAACCACATTTCTGGTAGCAGTGACTCAGTCAACTTGGCTGTTATCATCTCAGCTCTAATGTCAAACTTCTGAGGTAAACAGGTAGCACTTTAAGTGACACCACGGAGACTGTCTGTGTTCACTACAGTGTATGTTTCATTCTCACCTTAGCCTGTTTGCCCTCCATGACTGCGACACATGAGTTTGTGGTTCCCAGGTCGATGCCTATGACAGCGCCCTTGACAGCCTCTGACCTGTAACACACAAAATAGACATGTATAATTATTTATATTACTTTACGCATCTTGTGTTAGTTCGATAGGATTGATCTCGATGAAAACAACAGAGACGTTGATATCAACCTAAAAAATACCTGAATTAATCAGGACAAACAAAAGTTCTCTATGCCAAGGATGAGCAGGGCTGTACAGTGCGACATTTAATTCACAAATGGTACAAGAAAATCATCCTGTGCTACAATTTTTTTTGTCTCATAGCACTGGTGCAGTAAGAGCCAGCGAGCCGCATACATTCGTGTGTTTATAGGTGTGTGCCTTACTTACTCAAATTTAGTTTGGTAGTTGTAGTTTATAATTGAGATCTTTGCCTGGCTAAAGACTACACACTAGGCCTGGACGATATAGAAAAAAAGCATATCGATAAAAAATAAATCATATTGATCGATATCGATAATTATCGATATAATTATTATAATTATTTAACATATATTTTAATTGCAGCCCTGGATGTTTTATGCTATTGCTTAATGACCTACTTTTAATAAAGAACACACAAGCACTGAATTCAAATTCAAACCTTTATTCAACCACCTTTTTTATTTTACCACAACTAAAAGTTTTTTAAAAAAGAACTTAAAAAAAAAAAGAAATCAACTTAAGTGGCCTGAGTGACGTCAGTAAATACTGACAAACATAAAGACTAAAGTGACCAGAAAATCTGATAAATAAATACTTAAATAGTCTTTTGATGAAAATAAACAAAACAAACAAATATATAAATAAACAGAATAGCTTTAGGTGGGAATAGCATACTACCAGTTTTAACTGTGTGGGAAACTGCCCACAGCCTGGTGTCTGAACACTGAAATATTTCTCCCGGGGTCGGGAGATTTATTTTTTTTAAATTATCATGTGATTGACTTAATACACAAACTAAGCACGTGATGCAGGACTTATCCACGCCGGTGTTGTGTCGTAGAATGCACCCCTGCCGAATGCCCCCCCTGCTAGTAGCCATGATCCAAATACTCGCGTCTTTGTAAAATATGAGCTCATTTTCTTCCACTTTAAGAAGCTACACCGGAACGTATTTCCAAAACCAAAACATTGCCATGCTGGAGAACAACTGAAACCTTTTTTCGGGACAATTTCCTCCGCTTCTCCTTGCTGTATCATTTTTTCTAATACACGTGCTGTCTGTTGTGGTTTGATAGGGGCTGGGCTTGGTGCCGTAGCGTACCTGGGTCTGCGTTTGTGATTGGTTGGGAGGAAGTAATGACTGTAGTAAAAGCTACATGATAGGCTATGATGAAAAAGAAAGGGAAACTGTGTTTTTCTATCGAACTTTTTATCGACCCGTTTTTTTTTCTATCGCACCACACGTCTATCGATCGATATATATTGTTATCGAATTATCGTCCAGCACTACTACACACTGCACACCAATTCCCTGAAGTCCTTCACTGATCCAGCACTTGTAGCAAGTCAGACGCGCGAATTGTGAGGTAAGAGGAGAGAAACAATAGAGGGATCATTTATCAACATAGTGGATGCGAGCAATGTAACTGCAGCTGTCACAGTTATCTTAAGTTATCTTGCAGTTGCGATGTTAGCTAGGGATGTTGGCAGCTTACTACGGCAGTTTATCCCCCAGCGATAAAATAAGTTATGCTGCAAAATTGACATTAGTGAATGGGATCTTAATGACCCATACGCGTTAGATGCAGGTGAGTGGATAAACGCCAAGCAAAAAGGACCCAGACTTTAGTGGGCAGACATCCATTCGTACCTGACCGGGACACCAAGTCTCTATTCCCGGGAGAGGCTGAAATCCTACCAGATACTGGGTGGCTACAGCCACACACAATCATGCCCAAGATTATTACATGATTACAACACAGAAAACTTTGTGGCTTGTAAGACTGAGGTGCTGCCTCGTCAAGACAAGAAAGAGGACAGAGATAAAGTATGGATCATTGTGAATAAGAAAAACGACTGCATCCTAACTGAGAGCTGTACCTACAAGGCTGGGTGTGTAATTGCTGACTCCTCAGCTTTTTCATCCCTAACTATAGTAAAGGACACCAGGGTGAAGTTGGCTTAAAGTTGAAAATTCTACAGACATTCTCAGGGGAAATGCGTCCTTATATATGAAAAATTTGAAGTATAAAAACAAGAGGTGTGTCTTATGTAGCCAGTAGACTACTATGACCCCACACTGACGTTGAGGCTGTTGATCAAATGACCTGAAAGCTATTGAGCTAAACTGCTAATATTTATTTTTAAAAATTAACAAAAATAAAAAAAGATATAAAATTAATAACAATTATGAACAGATTAGAGATGTAATAGGTATGTCTCATGCAGCTTCCAGGTAATGTGATCAACTGACTCAAAATCAGTGTGAGATCACAATTTTACTGGCTGCATGAGGCACACCTCTTGTTTTTACTTTTCAGACCAGTTCTTTTTATTAATATTATTATTTTTCATATATAAATATTTGCATTTTAGCTCAACATCAAGCTGGTTTAGCTGATTAATTTGAATTAGTAGATGAGGTGAGGAGAGTTTTAGTTTAGTTTCAAACTGGCTGCAACTCAGTTTGATTCTTTCTAACATGCATATTCATCTTTTCCTCTTATTAAGTGAAAATCATATTTTACATCACTGTAATACATTTATTGTTTCAAATAGTTAAAGAAAATGTTTCTGAAAACACTTAAGTTTGGATTTTATTTAATGTATGAAATATGTACAACGTGTCCTTTGCTAGTCACACAACCTGTTTCTTTAGGTAGACATGTCATATATTGTGCTACAAGTTTTTGTCTTATGGTACAAGATTGTCAACCTCTGTAGCGCCAGCACTATGGACAAAAAAAGTTAACGCACAGCCCTGATGAGGTTGTATGGGACTATCAAGCTGATTGTGGCATCTATGATAAATGATGCATACAGAAAATGTATCTTATATATATATTTTAAAATATCATGCAGAATATGTTTTATATTGTTTTCTTTGTAATAAACTGATAAAGAAGTTTCCACAATGAAAAATGACTATATGGCAAAGCATCAAATCCTGTATGATAATTTAGAAAAATGCAAAATTTTCTTTTAAAACAAAAAACACAGCTGGCAGCAGCCTTCTCAGTACACTTTCTTAGACATCTTAGATGTAAAGTGAGAAAATCAGCAACAATTTACAATGTTATAAGCTGTTCTATAAATTTGGTCTAAAGGGCTAACGATTGTCTGACAACAGCCTCCTTTTACTGTTAAACTTCATTCATCACATGAGTTTTACCTCTATTTTACCCTTTGACACTCTGTTAAAAACTACAACTTTCAGCTTTAATACTGCTCATCACACACTTCTCACACTGTTGATCACCATTGTTACTAATCCAAATTTCCATACTGCATTATTAACAGGTCATATAGATGGTGCAGATACTTACGCATATTCCCTCCTGGACAGAGCTCTGAGAGCATCTGGTTGGAAGCCGCTCTGACGTGTCTGTAACCACATCAAAAAGTTATACCATATGAATTGATAAAATCAATGATATCAGTCAATATCATTCTAATGAGAAAATACTGCCTTCTTTAAAGCATGATCATACAGCTTAAAATCTTATTTATGCTAGTTGGGTGGACTACTAAGTCATCAAACAAAAAGATACAGCTAATATGTTGTCATAGTGCTTTATATCCAAAATTGTGGGAAAGTTACAAACGGAAACTGAAACTGAAATCCAGTAAATAAATTCTTGATTACGAGGTTATAACAATATTGTTTAATTTTGGGGACAAGATGTGAGAGTATTTGCAGCATGTTGGGGGGGGGGCAGACTCATTGAAGGTCACTAAGATAGACAACCGGGTCAGCTTTTTAACAAGTGAGCATACCTCTCAAAACAAACACACTACTCCAAACACTATAAACTCACGCAGCCTTCATTTACACATTAAGGCCTTTAGTTTTTATCCAGATACTTCACAAGCTAGCAAAATGGCTTTTAGTGTAGTATGTAGTACCTCGTATCATGTCGGGGTTTAAAATTCGGTGTCGTGTTTTCAGCGACAATAAAAAAAAGCAATAGAGCTCCTCTGAAGTTAAACGGAGCCAAACAGAGCCACCCTCACCTGACATTTCGACTGTCATGACATTAGCTCAAGACAGCCTTGCTACAACTGTTAGCACAATTAGCAGGACGACGTTCTATCAAGTAGTGCTACCTAACGAGAACCGGCTTGGGTTGCTTCTGCGCTTGCGCACAGTCAAAGTGGTGACCGCAAATGTAGATATCTCTCTTTGAAACTTTAATTGGGTTCCTTATCGAAGCGTGTAGTATCACCCCATTTTCCAAAATGTTAACGAAGAGGATATCGATGCAATAACTTGTTTCAGCCCTGGCAATATCGCCATGATATTGTTCTAAAGAAGGACGCTATCCCTTCACTCTTAAAAAATGTATGTTTAATAGGATCTCAAAAATATCTCCTCGTACCACAGTCCGCCACACCTCGTCTACAGTAAAACAACAACGCGAATCAATACTTCAAAACCTTGTTAAAAGTAATGACTTTCCGTGATGTGCACAGCTGGGACGAGAAACCTACACGGGTGCACTTTCCGACAGGGTAGCACAACTCGACAAAACACCCGCTTACTTGATAAGTCACCCACCCAAATCTCTACATGTGCCTCTTTAGAATAAAAATAATCTGGTAAATTCGAAGCTTACCTTCTTAACCAAGGAGGACACATTTCGTGTACAGCTTCTGGTCGGCAGAGTCCTTGAAACGCTTCTTGCGATACTCAACATCTTGGCAGCTCGTTCTACAGGCGAACAAAACTCAAAAACCGTCCACAGGAGTTAAATGTCGAATATAAATTTCCGTCACTTTCACAGCAAACGAGACCTCTGAAATGTTAATTGATGTCTGTTTTTTTCCAGGTGGTGTGTCACGGCAATAAGAAGAGCAGCTGTCCAGCAGGTCTACAGCAGCGAGTCGACTGCGAGTTCCCTTCTGGAATTATCCAACACATGTTGCACCACGCAACGCAGAAGGACCTCAAATTGGGCTGCCAAATTACCGCCTGAATAGATATACTTTTTTTTTTAAACATTCGACAATAAAATGTTTTGAAATGTGTATTATTAATTGTACGTAATTGATGAATATTTTGAGGAAAGTACGTTAGCAGGTATAATCTTTAGTAAGATCAAATTTCCGTCTCTTTTTCGCCCTTTTTTATTTAGGATTAGGTTTGGCCAGTGACACGTAGTGGGCATGTGAAGGTCATGATATACCAGTGATATGCGGGGCTTTCACGTGTGTTACAATCATACAGTGTAATACTATGCAGTAGTGATGGCGAGATGAAGCCTCTTTGAGCATTGAAGCTTTCCATCTAATTACTCGCCTCCTGGGCCGAAGCTTCATGATTGCGCTTCATTTGCTCTTTTGCGCTATCAAGTGGACAGTAAATGTAAAACAGGCAGAGTGATAAACAAAAGACACCCCGAGACTTCGGTGCACGAAGCTTTGAATTGAATGAATAAATGGATGTGAGGCCATGTGTTTGTGATACAATACAGAAATGATGAAGTTATTAATATGGTGTCTGTCTTTAAGACACAGTTGCAGTGTCAAAAAAGGGGAAGAGGACATAAATTATGAAGAGGGTTGTGATGTGAATGTACTTGTGTTACTTAGTTTGTTGTTCGTACTTTTGTAATGGGGACAACATATAAAACATAAACATTTAATTTGTTTTTATTATAAAAGAACTCTTCAACAAGTCTCGAGTCTATGGCTTGTGAGTGGGGGAGGACTCCATTGCGTTTCGCTGCCTGTCAAATCATCCACCAAACCCGCGAAACGTTTCTTGAATCAGTCACATGGTACAGCCGGGTAGCGAGGCTTCAGACGTCATCATTTTTGACCCCTCCCCTACATGAAGCAAGCCTCGATACGCGCTTCGCGGAAACGCCCCATTCATTACTTGACACACGCTTCGAAGCCTCGGCACTGAAGGACACATCGCTACCATGCAGTCTATGGTTACAACAGGGAAACTCAATGACCGTACCCGTCCTCTCACAGAAAACAAAATTTTTTGTCTTTTATATTGTTATTTGTGCAAGACTTGATTTTGTTTTCTTAATCACTTGTATTATGTCCTCACATGTCTGCAACTTTTTTTGCCCTAGAGCGAGGGCTAACTGAAGGAGCAGCAGAGGCAGCTCTAAGGGGCATGTCGTAAATACGTATTCTCATCTGTGCTGCTGTCATTCCCGGGTTTGAAGAGTGAGAGGACTCCAGTAGATCCATGGTTCATGTCTGTGAAATATCCAACCTTAAACTGAAGTCACTGCGGCCCCTTATCCTAGTTTTGTGCAATAACCCTCTGACAAGAGGTAATAAAAAGCCGTGTCAACATCAGTAAAGGTCCTTACACACCAGGCACGAATTCGCCAGGCAAATTATTCGCCTTTATTCGCCTTTTTTTAAAACAATATAAAGTCAATGCAAGCTTCCGCACCGGCAGCGATTTTTCCATGGGGCGAAAAGCGTCTTTTATTTTTTCACTCTTGTGTCGAATTTTTCGCATATTCGCAGGCGAATATCTGGACCTGCTAGACCTCTGGCCAATCAAAAGTCATGTTGTTGAATATATTCATTTATCAAGCACGCTATGGCAAACCCATCCAGCTCCTCTTGTAGACGAGTGAGCTATAGATGAGCTATTATGTGCTTATATACATTATAATGGGGCTGGGGGCCCGGAGCTTTCAAGAAAACGGGACTTTGTCTCATTCATAAAGAATATTGCCTATTATTTTAATCTTACCTCAGACATGTGGCTAGCCGCTCCTCTGGACCGATTGGCTCTCTGTAGTTAGTTGTCTGCTTCTCCAGCCATAGGGGTCAGCTACTGGAAGAGGTGGTTAAATTGCCCGAGGGACATTCTAAATTACTGGCGGAATTTCGGGGGGTAGAACTTTGCTTTGCAAAATTTATACGCATATTCGCTTCGGTGTGTGTAGGCGAAAGCGATTTTTCGGACCAGCGAATATTTTTACATTTTTGGGCTCTATTTTCGTTCGCGCCGATGAGACGGCAAGCCCCGCGCAGTTGTATTTTCGTCTGGCGGAGCCCGGCGTAAGGCCAGTTTGGTATTTTTGTGGACTGAGCCGCACGGAGGCGAGCCGAGATCCGCCAAGCTGGGCGTGGTGGTGTGGCAGGGAGAGGTGTCGACAGAATCAGCGGGCGCAGTGACATTTTCGTGCTCGCCACCGGCGTGTAAAGTGCGCTGAAAGCTCGCCGATTCAAACCTGGTCAGCTTTCAGCGCAAGGCGGAACGCAGCTGGTCTAGTAGTATTTTGGTAGACCGGCGGCGTATCGACATACGTCACTGATGCGTCACCGGCAGGTTTCCACAGTGTCAGGCACATTTCAGTGCAATAAATAATCATCAACAACTAATAATCTGAGTCAGCACATACATTTAGATCTATATCGATATAGATTCCTCTTATTTCTCGCACAGCTCGACCTGGACACATCTCCCTGTCCTCTGTCCGTCTTGCTGCTGCTGCGGCTGAACAGATGATTTGTTTCAGTGCTCAGATGCCTTATCTACTTTAAGCCGACATGCAAATATTCTAATAATCAGTTTTGTGAGCCAAATTTATTTTATATGCCAACATCTATGAAAGAAAGAGCCAGGCCACGTAGCGCGATGCGTCATTACGCACGGAAAGTTCCGATTTAAATGCCATTATTGGAATTTATGTTGTGATCTGTGCACTCAACCCACCTTTGTCACGTGAGGTTTAAATATATGCAACTTAATGTGAGTGTCTTTATTTGTGGAAAAGGGTGTTTGTCTTACCAGTGGGTCCAACATTACACACACCAAATCCATCTGTGCTCATATGAGAGAGTGTGGAGGACACTTGTTGACGAGCTGCCCTCTGTCGCCATTGTGTGGCATAACTGTCTTCAGACATCTCTTGATCTCTTTGATTACTTCATGAAAATAGTAATACGCCTCGCCGGTGGCGGATCTGATTGACGCTGGGCTTGTGGCACGTCTCCAGCGAGGCACCAAAATAGAGCCCTAAGTCTTGCTTTTTCGCTTCGTTTCACAGAGGAGCCAGGTCAGGAAACGTCAGGAGGCCAGCTGCACTGTAGGCTGCTCACGTCTCAGGGCCGGGACACCTCCACCCGGGCGCTCACCCCGCTACAGGCCAGTAAGGGGGCCACAGCAGCAAGCACTGCTGCAGACCACCACCTGGCCAAGCTGAGTGCACACCACGAGGCAGAGAAATCCCAGATAGAGCCAGTCACAGCCTACAGTGCAGGTGGCCCCCACTGAGAAACACTGGAGAAACAGATAAAAACATAAAAACATTAACTAGATCAGCTAAGAACATAAAACTAAATAAAATTATAAAATACCAATAAAAAGCTAAAATATCATTTAAAAATCAGTAAATAAATAGAGTAAATATAACATGTAAATGAGGACTAAAATATATAAATAACATAAAATAAGATTAATATATAGGTAAGAATAAGACATTAGTTAAAAGCCAAATGAAATAGGTGGGTCTTGAGCCTGCTTTTAAAAATGTGAACATTTTCTGCAGCCCTCAGACAGGCTATTCCACAGACAGGGGCCATAGTGCTGGAAAGATGCCTCATCATAACTTTGTGTTCTCGCTTTGGGGACCATTAAGAGGCCTGTGCCAGAGGATCTTAGGGGTCTTGGACCTTCTTATCTTTCAGAATTGCTTTCACAATATAAACCCTCACAGACCCTAAGCCATTTAAAAACCATTAAAAGAAGCTTAAAATTGATCCTAAAGCACACAGGGAGCTAGTACAATGATTTTAAAACCAGTGTGATATGTGCCCGCCTTCTGGTCCCCATCAACACACGTGCTGCTGAGTTTTGCAACAGTTGTAAACCTGCAATGTTCCTCTTTGGAAGACCAGAAAGCAGGGCGTTACAGTAGTCAAGACAATCAGAGATAAAACCATTTGCATAAAACATGCTCTGTACTAGCCTGGAAGAGAAAGGGGGCAGTCTCTGGCTATGTTCTTTAAATGATAAAATCCTCTTTTCCTAATGTTTTAATATGTGGAATAAAAGTCAGTTCAGTGTCAAAGATGACGCCCAGATTCTTACACATCAAGCCCAAAGCACTTTTGGGACTTTCGGAGGGGAAAAAAGACGCATCCCTGGGAAGACTTTTCCTGGGAAAGTCCCACCTCCTTCGCCTCTGATTGGCTAGAAAAGCTGGAAACGTCATCGCACACTGAAGCCAAACAGTCAGCACTTATAGCCAATCAGAGGCGAAGAAGGGCGGGACCTTCCCTTACCATCCTACAGCATCCCAGGTGGAAGCGAGATGACAAAAACGGAGTCTACTTCAACTTAAAGTGATGGCAAATTGGTACTCCTTTTGCTTTCTAAAAAGAAAAAGAAACGTAGCACATGGGTGCATCCAATATTACATCCAATATTACAAAAAAGAAGAGAATTCGGTGAGTTTCACTGCTTGGTTCAGGAGCTGAAACTGTACCACGGTCGCTTTGGAACCTATTTTCGGGTGTCTGTTGGACAATTTGAAGTTCTGCTGTAACAATTAGCTCCAAGTTTGAAGAGGCAGAGGACTAGACACTTGACACTAGTGTTGAGATGGCTTTCTGTCATGATAGCATGTACTATGTTGGGGTCAGTAGCAGATAAGCGCATGAAACTATGGTAACAACTGTTAGCTTACGTTAGCACAGATGAAAGTTAAAACAAAGACGTTAAGCAAACTGTTAAAGCACACAAAACATTGTCATATCAGAAATCTGACACTATGACTCTCCACAAGTTCCTCTCCTTCAGGTCGTTACTTTTGTAATAAGGGTCGATAAGGGTAGAAAGAGTGAGGGCTGGAAAGGCAGGAAAATGAGTGCGAACAAAATCTCTTACTTGTAATTATCTAAAAAAGTGGGCGGACTGCAAGTTGAAAGCCTAGGTTAACTGACTGAAGGAGGCAAATGTTCCATTAAT